CGCCGTGCTCCTTCAGCTGGCCAGACGACAGCAGGTTTGCCCGCACACCCAGGACGTATAGTACGTCATGGATGAGCACCTGCTTCCCGGCCTCGCCTTGCAGGGCGACGATGCCGCGGCCCTGGACGTCTTGCAGCGCCCCATTGAAGCCACGCACGTGCTTCACGTCGCCGCTTGGCCCCAAGTCGACGAAGGCGTCCTTCGTCCCCATCAGGTGGTGGGAGCAGCCGCTGTCGAGCAGGACCACCGCCGGATTCGCCTGCACAGCTGCCGCCACCGCCTGGAAGTCCTCGCCGGCCTCCGGCGCCAGCGAGACGGTCGGCTCCACGACGCCGACCAGAGAGCACGACGCCGACTTGTCGTCCTTCCCCTTGCCGCCAGCAGAGGAGTCGGCGTCCTTCGCCGAGGTCGACGACTTGGTCGACGTCTTCTCATTGCGTGACTGGTTTCCTCCTCGCCGAGGACGACGACTGCCCGACCTCCCGCGGCCACCCTTGGTGTCGTCGTCGTCGGAGTCACTGCGGTCGGGGCACTCGAAGGAGAGATGGTCGGGGTCGCCACACAGCCAGCACTCCCGACGTCGACTTCCTCCTCCTCGACCGTTGTCCTTGGTCGACTTCTTCTTGTCGACTTCCTTGGCCAGCTTCCAGCCACTGCTACCACCGCCGCCAGGCTGTCCGCGCTGCCCCGGTCGACTTCCTTGCTTCGCCGGGGCGACGAGGTTCGCCTGTGCCAAGAGCTCCTGTGACCGCTCTGCCTCCTGCATCGCCTCGTCCTGCAGGATGTACGAGGTCAAGTTGTCCTCGTTGAGCGTCGTCCTGGTGCTCGGCGCCATTGACAGCCGCTTCAGAAGGTTGTAGCTACTCGAGAGTCCCTGCATGACGTGGGTGACGTACGACGCCGTCGAGTACTGCGCGCCAGCCATCCTGATGGTGGCGAGAATTCGCCGGGCCCGATTGCAGTAGTCGGTCGCCGTCTCCTCGTCGCCCATACGCAGGTGCGTCAGCTGCCCCTCCAGCTGTGCGATGAACAAGTCATCGGTGACTTGGTAGGTCGACTCGATGAAGTGCCACGCCCGGTGGCCGGCGTCGAGGTACTCTCGGCACCACTTCAAGGCGATCTGCACGCCCGGCGAGCAGCACCGGGAGATGACTGTGAAGGTCAACAGCTGCACGGCACGAAACTCCGCACGCAAGTCGGGATCGTCCGGCGTCGCCACGGTGCCTCGAGCAAAGCTGATCAGCCCGGCCATTTCCAGCTGGGGCTCGATGGCTTCCTTCCAGGTGAGTATGTCGGGTCGACCAGTGAGCGGCGGAGTGACCAAGATCCTGTCCGGCGTGAACTTGAAGTAGCCGTAGCTCGGTGCAATCCCGCCTGCTGTCACCTGGGTCGCCGACATCGGCACAGATCCACTTCGTCGACCTCTGACGTCACCCTGCAAGGAGCCTGCAGCCGCCGACGACCGCATCCCTCGCGCCTGAACGACGCCGACTTCATCGGCGTGAATCACACCACGCTGCCTTGACGTGCCTCCCGCACTGCTGCCGACTTGACCACCACCGGCGTTGACGCCCATGTCGACGCCGCCTTCGTCGTTCACCGGTCGAGGAGAGGCAGGTCGAGAAGGGTGCTCCGTCGCCCACATGGTGCGGAGTCCAGCCTCGACGACCGCCCAGGGTATTGCTCCGTACTCCTGGGCGTCATGGCGTCTCCTCGCATCCTCCAGCCGTGCCTCCAGGGTGTCCACCACCCCTGCGTCACCTACGGCTCCTACCATAGTGACCAACGCACAGCTGCCGGCCTACAACGACGAATTAGGTAAGTGATGTCTACGTCGACCCGACTGAAAAGTAAGTCGTGTGCCGTCCACGCTCACCGCACCATGCGGAGATAACTACTACAACGGGAGCTAGACTACGGGCTAGGCACGGGTGCTCGTGTGATCTCTGCGTTCGTTGGTCCTTAGTCGTTTTCCTAGTGTACACACTGCTTGCTAGTTCACGGGGAAATTTGGCAAGAGTTTCACTAGACAAAGTTAACAAATAATGGTACAATGAAGTTGGCAAGGCAAGACTACATCAGAGCTAGCATGCAAGCAGGACGACTGCCAGCGCAGCACGGTCGACCGCGTGCCAGCACGACCTGGTCGACCGCGCCCCAGCAGTGCAGAGTCGCGGCTTGCCAACACTGCAGGTCGACGGCGTGACAACAGCGCAAGTCGACGGCGTGCCAGCGTTGCTCCCGCAGTACAGCATCGCACCCGCTTCGCAGGTGCTCGCAGATGATTGGCGTGCAGTGCCTTGTCACCTGCACAGCGCACACACCAAGTCCACTTCGTGCTGACGACAGCTGCTGATCAGCCACGTCGACCTCGGGATACCACCACCGAGGTCGTCCTCGCCAAAAACATCTGCGCGAACGTCGCATGCCTCCGCAGAACCTCGTCACCCAGGTAACCTGGTCGACCGAGCAACCAGGTCGACCAGAGGCTCCTGTGCGTGCCCGTCGACCACGCAGGTCGACGACCACTTCCGGTCGACCTCCCCAGGTCGACCACTGCCTCTGGTATGTGCCGGTCGACCTCCCAAGTCGACGGCCACCTCCAGTCGACCTCCCCAGGTCGACCACTACCCCCTGGTCGACCAGCTCCAAGTCGACGTCACTCCAGGTCGACCAGAAGGTCTGGTCGACTTCCCAAGTCGACCAGAAGGGCTGGTCGACTTACCAGGTCGACCAGCCGAAGTTGGCGCCCTCCCGAAGTCGGCGCCCATGCAGTGGCTCCCCGTGCAGGTCGACCAACCTCGTCGACCAACTCGCCCACTGCTGCAGGTCGGCTGCACCCTACACCCGACCACGAAGTCGGCACCGCCCAAGCGAGGACGGGGCCAACATACAACTCCCGTTGACAAAGAGGAGGAGTGGCGAAGTGCAGGAGCCAATCAGTGGCGCCAAGGGCGTCCAACCAGAAACTGCTAGTAGCACGGGCGAACCAAGGAGTCACGGGCCAAAGGAGTCACGGGCCAAAGGAGTCACGGGCCAAAGGAGTCACGGGCCAAAGGACGGGCCAAAGGAGTCACGGGCCAAAGGAGTCACGGGCCAAAGGAGTCACGGGCGAGGCACGAGAAGACGCACTGCAGCCTGGCATGGGTGAGGCGGAGGCGCGCCTGAATGCACTTCTGAAAGCGCCACGCCACTTCTCCCCCCATTTCTGCCGTTGGCGCACCAGTGGGGAAGCATCTCTCCCCACGCACACGACAGCCATATGCTGCAGAAATGATAGGGGATCACACAAAAGGAAAACTAGCATGAGCGGTGGGAGGAGGGAGTAGGAAGCAGGGGTTGTAATAACCTGGTTCCTGCTCCCTTTGTGTGGATGACCACGCCTGGTTGAGACACAATCACTAGCGATGACTGATGACTGCAATCACTTGACTCACACAGCTTCAGATTGATTGACACTGCAAATGGCCAGGCCTGGTTGAGGGACACGGATATGTTAGCGGTGATTGACGACTGCAGGTGGATCGATGAAACGTTCAATGACACGATCGTGGCCTTTTGTGTCGACTCAAAAGTCAGCTCGGATATGTTAGCAGTGGTTGATGACTGCAGGTGGATCGATGAAACGTTCAATGACACGATCGTGGCATGAGGGCATCAATGTGTGGCTGGTGTCTGTTTGTTACCAAGTCGATGGGCACCCCGCTGTCTGCCACTGCCTTGGCGTGGCTGGGACTGGCACGTGACAAGGGAATGAATAGAGCAGAAGGGTAGGTGGGGCAAGAGAAGGAAGCGGGATCATGCCACGGCCTGTGATCAAATTGTGGTGCCTGTGACCAGGTCAATTTACTCCCCACTGTCTGCTACGACCGTGGCATGGCTGGGACTGGCACGGGTCAAAGGAAGCGGGCGTGGGTCAAAGGAAGCGGGCGTGGGTCAAAAGAAGAGCAGAAAGAAAACGAGTCTCCCCCTCCCCTTCCCTCTCCCCCTCCCCTTCCTCTCCCCCTTCATCCCTCCATGAGCCTACAGCATCCAGCAGCGGCCCAATGCCTCCCATGCCCCCCAGCCTGCCTGCTGCTGCGGCTCCCTCACTGTCTCGCCACCTCTCTCACTGCCGCTGCTGCTGATGCGCGCGGGGAGGGCGATGAGTCGTGCAGGCAGAGCAGCAGGCGAGGTGCTCCGAGTTGGTCCAACACTTGCTGCGGGGTAGTAGGGAGAGAGGGGAGAGGGGCTGAAATAACCATGTGAGACCCTGCCAGCAGGTAACGTCGTGCAGGCAGAGCAGCAGTCGAGATGCTCCGAGTTGGTCCAACACTTGCTGCGGGTGAGAGAGAGAGAGAGAAGGGAGAGGGGGTAGGGGGAATGGGAGAGGGGGAGGGGAAGAGGAGGGAGGGGGAAGGGCGGATTGCGGGAGACAAGTGGTAGGCCCTGCCTCGCGACTTCCCTCAGTGCTGCTGCTGCTAGCGCGCAGGGAGGGAGACGAGTTGTGCAGGAAGACACGAGGCTGTGCCGTAACAGGGTGACGGTTTGAAGCGGTTGAGGAATGTTCAGAAATAAAATCAGAACGGCTTGGGAAGTTAGGACCAGTGCTTACCAGTGCGAGAGCTTCGGAGTGCCTGGCATGGTGGAGAGGCAGAGGCAGACCTGAATGTAGTGCAGAGCGGTTTAGATGGGTGGAGAGACTTTGGCAGGAGAAAGGCAGGCAGGCAGGGTGCAGAGAGGCTACGAAAGACACCGGGGGGCGTGGAGATGGTTGCAGAAGGGTGAACAATATTTGTTGTAGAGATGCAAATTAAGCTCTTTGCATCTCTACATCAAATATTTTGCACCTTTTTACAAATGTCGCGAAGTCAATGTTACAATCGAGTCTGGTGGCAGACCACCCCGCTTGGTGGGCCAGAGACGGGAGAGGACGGGAGAGGAGCTGCTGAGAAATATTGCCAGTTCGATCGACGCGCACCATCTCTTTCAAGTTGTGGTTGTAGAAATGATCAGAAGCAATGGGTCATGCGTGGGCGCTTCAACGTCCCCAGCTCTACGATCCGGCGAGACCGCTGATAGAAGCTCCGTAATGGCGCCGTTTTCGCATATCTTCGCTGGAATCGCGTGCAATAGCTGACTGCCTCGCCTAGGGCCGACGGCCTTTTCAGTTCTCTCGATGGAATTGCTGGAATCGTGACATTGCCCGTGAAAGCGCTCAGACGGAGCCAGCAAGCTGTACAATTCTCTGCAATACGCGGTAAGACTTCGTGTGATCACTTTCTCGTGCCGCTTAGTCATGTATGGTAGTCGACCTTCCTTTTTTTCTGTAACTTTCTGTATTTCATCGTGCGCAATTAAGCCGGCGATCACGAGGCATTCGTGCCGTTGAAGTGCATCGTGACTATGCTGCACGTAAATGAAACCAGATGGGTATGTCTGCTCGCATGTAGGCCCTCTCGCAGGGTCTCTGTCATTGGTGGGCCTGGAATCCCCATAAATTTCATGCGTCGGAAAACGCGAGAGCGCTGGCGTTGCTAACTGCCAAGGTAGTTGTTTTTTGATACAGCATCTCATCCTCTTGTACTCTCGCCATTCCTTTTTTTCAGGTCGACCGGCGTACGATAATCAAGACATAGCTCCAAGTACTGAAGCTTGATGCTGCTGATCAAGCATTGATATATTTATCTTGGAACACAGGGTGTATGAGGTGAAGCTGAGAGATACATGGTATTACTCAATTGTGGAGCTTGTGTTTCCGAAGTACCGTAGTTCCAGAAGGCTCTCCCCACAGCAAGCCAGCCAGCATCGCTCATGCGTGAAATGATTGTAGAAATTACATATTTTTTAATAAAATATGTTGCAAAGTTCATATTTAGAAATTTTGAATACAACTATACCACGGGCCTGGTCGTGCGGAGGTTTTCGTTGAAGTGTTCATATCATAATACAAATATTGAATCAGAGTACTGTTTTGCTGTCCACCGGGAATCTTGGTACTTAGCTCAGTTCGGCAACTGGTGTCAGGGACTGGTGTCTGATTCAGTTGCTTGCTGCGCATTCCCAAGGGCTAGAATTCAGATGCCAATTGCACCTCCTTTCCGCTTGAAGTTCCTGATATGAGCGCGGCTGGTCGAGGCGGCAGAGGGGACTTAGAAGCGGGGCCTGAATCAGGCTCGGATTCGGGTCTCGCTTCGGGATTTTCGTCAACAGCAGGATGGTCGGTGCCGTCCGCCGTCGATATGCGATGGGTAGGCTGCAACGCTAGACTGATTAGTGTTACCCGCGGTTATTGCAACTTAATGGTTCAGGCTTTGTGCTAGTCTCAATTGCGGCTTACGGCGAAGGCTAGACTTGTTCGTTCAGAGTCTCAAGACCTGAAACGCCGAAAGGCGAATGTAGCGCTGGTTTTTGCCAGACCCTTTCGCCCTTCTCTACTCCGTCCCGTGCCGTCCTGTCTGCTGCTCGGTCCAGTCCTGCGCGTGTTAGACTGCGTTGCCATGCGAAGGCAACTCGTGCGCTCCCTGTGTCTATCACATGTCACGCGTTGCTTGTGTTCACTTCTATCTGAACGCCGGATTTAATGCACGCGTTTTCTCCTCAAGGGTCTTACATGTGTCGTCCGCATTCCCATCCCTCCTGCCATGCTGTCTATTGCAGAGAGCACCAGGCGGCCAATCCTCGGGCTCTACTAACGGGGGCTTCACGGGGACGAGCGGGCTGTCGATTCAGTCAGGTGGTGCACCACCATCCACCCAATCCGGCTTCCCATTCTCACAGCCGCAGTCCGTCGGCCTCTCAGGGTCAGGAGGCCAGGCATCCGTTGCAGCGCGGGAGTTGATTGTCAATGTCCAACCGCTCGTCTTCATCCTCACCCGTAAGGCGCCTTTATGTCCTGAAAGTCTCAAGAACCGCCTACAAGGAAGTACTAGGATAGGAGGTCAGGAATCCGTTGGGACGCAGGAGTTGAGCGTCAATGTCCAACCGCTCGTCTTCATCCTCACCCGTCCGCAGCCCGTTTATAACTGTTTACGCGAGCAATGAATGCCTGTCTGTCTGGTTGATGCTCATTGTCTCTGTCAGTGTTCAGCCCCTGGCGCATTGACTCCTCTCTCCTCCTTGCACTCTCCTCCCTTCTCCCTGTACCCTGCTCTCTCGTCCCTTTCGGTCTGCCCTGCCATTGTGCAGTCATGTTTCTCCTCATGCTTCTCAGCTTCCCTCAGGCTTCAGAGTTTCTGGTACGCCGTTCCCACCCCCTCCTTGCCAGTCCCACCACATTGTGAGCACTTAGACCATTGCGTATGGCCAGTGCGCACTAGGACCAGTGCGTATGGCCAGTGCGCACTAGGACCAGTGCGTATGGCGTTCCAGCCTGTTCTTCAGTCCTTTCGTGGGTACTGCTTATGCGAGGATTTGAGCAATGGCCGTCACCCTTTCCCTGCACTGGATACACTCATTCCCCTGAATACACTCATTTCCTCGTCAGTCATTATCCTTCAGAATCCTGTCTCTGGATTGTTACACTCGTTCCCCTGCATACACGTCATTACCCTTCATTACTTTCCTCCCCCCCCCTTTCCCCATCGCTAACCCACCATCAGCTGTGGGTGTTCATCGGAGCGTTTGTAGCAGCCATGCTGCGAGGCCTCTCCCTCTACCGCCATCTAGCCGACCAAGCCAGAGCCCAGCGTGCCTTCGCTCGCCTCCTCGGCCTCCCCCCTTCCTCCACCTCCTTTCTCCTCTCCAATCCATCTGCGCTCGCCTCCCCTTTCCCCCCCTTTGGACCGCCGTTCTCGAATCTTCCCTTCCAACCTTCATCGTTCTCTGCTGCTGCAAGGGGTGCTGCAGTCCCTCTCTGCGACCTCCCCTCCTTCCCCTCTCTCTCCCCTTTCCCCGCCTTCCCCTCATCTCTCTCCCCTTCCATCTCCCCGTCCTCCTCTTCTGGAAACCTCAGTCAGTCCACGTCAGCAGCGGCCAGATCAGCATCCGCATCAGGTCCAGCTGGAGCTGAGTCAGCAGCATCTGCTTCTGCCGCCCAACGCATGCACATGCAGCAGCCACAGGCACAGGCACTATCAGAGCTCGGTGGAGAGTGGTTTGGAGTGGGGGATAGGAGTGGAAGGATGGAGGACGGGTCGTTGCTTGCTGCAAGAATAGGGTCGTTGGTTCGAGCACAGCAGCCAGGGGCACAGCAGCCAGGGCAGCAGCAGGGGCAGCAGGAGGAAGGGGATCGCATGTGGTTGGAGCACCAGGCGCAGCTGCGGCGGTTACAACAGCACCTGGGGTTGCAGCTGGCGCTCATGCACAGAGAGCTGCAGGCGTCAGGTGAGAGAGAGAGAGCCTTTATAGCGATTTTTCATCATGTGGTAGGGAGGGGTTGCTACATTCGTGTCTCTGCGCACGCATCCTCATGTTCCCCATGTTTGCACCTGGGGTTACAGCTGGCGCTCATGCACAGGTCAGGTGAGAGGGATGCTTCAAGCCGATCCTTCGTTCGGTGGTGGTATGGGTTGCCACAATGCCACGTTCTTGTCTCTCCCCAACCACGCCCACCCATGTTTGCACCTGGAGTTACAGCTGTGCGCTCATGCACTGGGGGCGTCATGCATTCGTGTGGGAGAGAGGCTTCAAGCCGATTCCTCACCTCCTCTTGCCTCCTCGTTCCTTCTTGAAATCTGATGCAGTGAATTAGTTCCGGCATTTGGCTGCCAAAAATTTGTCTCAGCCCAGTTGTCACCATTTTTCCTGTCTCACCATTGTACCCCGTTTGTGCCTGGCCTATGCCAGATTACGAATTGCTGCGTGCACTGGATGCGGACAACACTCCGGCAGTCCCTGCTCTGAGCGACCTTGAGATTGCTCGTCTACCTGCCTTTCCATACAAGCCGAAGAGGTACGTGGTTGCTCACAACCTAATCAGCACACGCAATCAGCATCAAGACCTTTAGGGTGTAGGGCGTTTGACTCCCCTGATGTGTTTTTCACCATTTTCCTTCACCGCGTCCCTAGCTGCAACCTTTGAATTCTCGGCCTGACTGTGACCAACAATCCAACTTTGATGTTGCTATTATTCCTCGTGCAAAGCTTTGTAGCAGATCGCTTATTCAAGTCAAACAGCATTCGTGCTGGATTAGACCAACCAAATGGTTTAAATTCCTTCATATTAACGACTCCATGTATCTCCTGCTTTCTTCCATGCACCAGAAGTCGGTCTGGCGCATACAAGCCACGGGCCGGCCCCTCTTTGCCAGCAGCAGCATCAGCAACCCCAGCTGCATCAGATGCATCGGCAGCAGCAGCAGCAGCCAGCGCAGCATCAAGCAATCTGGTGTCAAGCCAGCAGGGGAAGGAGGGAGATGAGAGCAAAGGCAGCAGTGAGCAGTGTACAGTGTGTCTGGAGCCTTTCCAGGAAGGGGAAATGGTTCGCCTGCTACCGTGCCTACACCAGGTATGTGTCACTTCACCATGGTTGTCCTGGTGTAGCGCCGTGCAATGAGGTACAGTGAAAGCATTGCATAACAGAATTATAGTAAATCTGCAGCAATGTATCTTCCTCTCCCTTCCCCTCCCTCTTGTTCTGCCAGTTCCACTCGCAGTGCATTGATCAGTGGCTTCAACGCCAAGCCAACTGCCCTATTTGCAAGCACCAACTTGTGCTGTCATGAGGTGATTCCTAGAGTGTGCTCACAATGTATCAGTCCCATTCATAACCTTCGACATTGATATATGCTACAGGTGATGCTCACCCCCTGCACGCGAAATTGCCTTGCACATTCCAGAAACCTTGCACGCGTGGGTTTTTTCCCGGGCAGTTGCACCCACGTTACAAGCACGTCAACCAATACGAACCACAGAAACTCAAGTTTGACTTAAGAGACCGAAGTCAAACAGTCAACGGTGAGTTACAAAATTTTGTTATAAGCCCTTTTTGCCCGAAGCGAATTGACGAAACCTCCACGAAATGCAAGAATCGCTTATAAGCCCAGAGGGTAGGGCAAGGTCGGGGGGCTCAACCGGGCATCACCTGTATGCGTAGTCTGTTGTGTTCCCCACTAGTCCTACCATGTTTACCGCATCTTTTCCGCTGTACTTGATTTTCGGAATCAGATAGGTTCCATTTCTGGAGTACCGTAAGGAGTTTGCGTCATCAAATTTCTGTTATATACAAGGGGTTAGATCATAAAACACCCTAACGGTGGAATGAGCAATGTGAATGATGAACCAGAGTTATGGTGTAATTTTGATTGTGGTTTTAATCACAGTTGCTGTATCCATCACCCATGGCCCAATCATCCATGCTAGGGTGGACCCCTGGTTATGGAATGGGATGTCCGCCATATCATTTGGCTTGCTAGGGGGCATCACATCAGATCCCATGTATCATGCATATGGAATCACCCCAGCATAGTGTGGTGGTGTGGTGTGTAGCAGCAGGATATAAGGGGTCCAGAGTGCAGAAACTCCAGGTGGTCAGGGTAAAAAACAACTCACCCGCCGCAATTGACAGGGTGATATCTCGCTATTAGCCAATAAGACTCACGCTTCACATGGTCCCACAGAAGGCTGCTGGGCTGTTGACCTGGATTGTCTGCCAACGAAGCAGGACAGCACTTCTGCGGCTCGCCACGCGTAACCTCGTATCCAATCAAATATCCTTCTCCAACTCCGCTCCGCTTCCCCCGGACTTCCCTCCCCATATCTGTCAGGTCGCATTTCGGGCAACTTCCAAACAATCAACTTCCTAACAAGCGACTTCTTTCCGATTTTCTGAGACTTTGTGCGACTTCATGCGATGTGAACCTCCTAACAACTCTGTATCAGCTGCCCGAACAGTTGCGACCAAGTGTTACCATTCGTTACCAAGTGACAGGTCATCGCAGATAGGTGAAATGCTCCGCCACTTTACTGGCTGCGAACCGCCACTGTACATTTGCGACAGACAATGTCAGTGATGGATGTTGTTTGTTCGGAGGTGCAAAAACCAACCTCCAAACAAGTTTGGCGTGTGCGACGACCAACTTGTTAGGAAGTTGGTTGTTTGGAGGTCCGAAATGCGACCTCAGCCTCTTCTTCTTCTGTCGTCGTCCTGCTTCCTGTGCCCCCCCAACCCGCCCCCAATCCCAAGGTCCCCGGAGATGCCATCGCGATGATTGTGTCGGGCTTCCAATTTCATTTCAAGAAAAGCTCCACATTTTGACATTTCAGGCATTCCCATGTTGGTCTGGTTCAGTTGACCTTTCTATCCGCCCATTGACATTCGCTTCTTGGTTTGAGCCAGACTCCTCCGTGTCTTCTTCTCATCTCGTCCATCAAACCCGCTTCGAGAAACGACGACGCGGAGGGAAGTGAAGTAAGTCGGACACCAGACCATTCTGCTGAGGATTCGACGACTTCGTGACCATGGCTCCCAGCGAGAAGGTTCTGCGAACGGACACGATGAACGAGAATGTGCTCAAGACTGTGTACGCCGTTCGTGGCGAGCTCTATTTGCGAGCCGCGCAGCTTCAAGCCGAAGGGAAGGAGGTACGGGAATGGGATTGAAGTTAAATCCGTGCGAATTGTCTCTCATCCTTACCGTGTTGTTCACCCCATGACGTCTCTAACATTATATTCATTGATTTGTCTTCCCGTCCGTGTTCCTTGCTTTCGTGCAACTGCAGATCATCTTCACGAACGTCGGCAACCCTCATTCTCTCGGCCAGAAGCCGATGACTTTCCCTCGCCTCGTGAGTCCCCTTCCATTTTCCACGCGTTCTTGTTACTAAATCTCCGCTGTTCGGCCTTAACTCTTCTCGTCATTACAGATGCCAAGATTCTGTCCCGTATCATTCCGACGGAGCTTCGCAATATCACCTGCATTCTGTCCCGTCGTCAAATCTATGTTCTAAACGCCTGAAACTTGCGACTTTTCTCCTCATCGACATTCCCAAGGTTCTCGCTCTCGCGGAGGCGCCATTCCTGATGGAAAACCCCGAGACCGCCAAGCTTTTCCCGGAGGACGCCATTGCTCGTGCTAAGAAGTACCTCTCCTTCACGACAGGCGGAATTGGTGAGTCGAGTTTCGACACGCGTTAACAACGCTGAGTGTTTCGAGGGGTTACGGGAAAGGCGGATTACGTGTTTTGGAAACGCGGTCTAATTCCGACGCGCCTCGAATAATTGTCCGTGAGGCCGTCAAGTTCCAAGAATGCTCTTCGAAGCTTGTCCCAGCAAGATCTGCTGATTCAGTTCACATTCGGAAAAGCGTCTGCATTTAATGAACTTCGCGTTTTTCTCACCATTTTGAGAATGCTCAAAGATTCACGTTTCCAACTTGTCACCTCTCCTCTTTTTGCGCGTTTACTTCCCCTGCTGGCTTCCCTCTCAGGCGCGTACAGCGACTCCCGCGGACTGGCGGGCATCCGCAAGGAGGTGGCGGAGTTCATCGCCAAGCGCGACGGCTTCCCCGCGTGAGTGCATCCCGCTAATGCTGGGACGGGGAGCGGGACTGAGAGTAGGAGCGAGACTGGGAATGGGAAAGATACTTATAACCGGACCATCGAAGTCTGGGACCAGGATTGAGACTGGGACGACAGACCTGGAATTTAATTCAACCGTTGCCTAATTTGTGCTATTTTACTGCGAACAAAAAACATGCCGATTTTCTACCATTCCGTCTTTTACCTTCAATCTCATCCCTCTCCTCATCATATCCCATCGCTCATCCCTCCGCTGCTTCGTTTCCCTCCTCTTCTTCTCTCTCTCTCCTGCTGACCACGCGCCGAATGGATACAGCGACCCCGATTCGATCTACCTCACGGACGGGGCCAGCAAGGGAGTGGAGCGCATGCTCAATGTGCTCATCCGCAACGAGAAGGACGGGGTGAGTGTCAACGGGAACGCCGCATTTTCCCCAACGCTCTCGGACGCGCGATGCTCCCCTGTCAGTGTGTCCCGCACTCAATACCCTGCACCGCTTCTTCCGCCTTCCCCCCTTTCTTCCCCCCTCTTCCCCCCCACCCTATCCCCCAACTCCCCCATCCCCCTCCCATCCCCCAGATCCTGTGCCCCATCCCGCAGTACCCCCTGTATTCCGCGTCGATCGCGCTGCTGGGCGGCACGCTGGTGCCGTACTACCTGGACGAGAGCCAGGGGTGGGGGCTGGACATGGCGGAGCTTAAGAAGGCGTGCGAGGACGCGCGCCAGAAGGGCATTGAGGTGCGTGCGAGTCTGTGGTGGGTAGACTCTTGGGGGTTGTCTGATGAGGGGGAGTAGGTGGATCGGGAAAGGGGGGATGGGTCTGATGTGAGGGAAGTTCTCTGTGAAATGGATCTGGCCTCTTCCCTCCTGCCTCCTTACTTCCACAAAATCCCGTCTCTCCAATATTTTCTTCCCCTCGCAACCACCCCAACTCCGGCAACCCTACCCCACGGGCTCCATCCTAATCCAACGGATTACCAGTAACTCCCCTTCCTCATGCCCTGCTCCCACCGCACCCCACCCCTTCCCACCCACCCCCTTTGGTCAGGTGCGGTGCCTGGTGTTCATCAACCCCGGCAACCCCACGGGCAACTGCCTGTCGGAGGAGAACCTCAAGGAGCTCGTCAAGTTCTGCGTGGACGAGCGCCTCGTGCTGCTGGCCGACGAGGTGTACCAGGAGAACGTGTACCAGGACGAGCGCCCCTTCCTCAGCGCCAAGAAGGTAAGGCGAAGGTGTCGTTTGGTCTGGTGCACACTGAGGTATATAAGGAGAACATGTACCAGGACGAACGCCCCTTCCTCAGTGCAAGTAAAGTATGACAATGATTTCAAGTTCCACGTGCTGTGAATCTCGGGTTAGAGCGTTGGCAGGAGAGGCTTGTGCTGTGCTGGAGAGTGAAAACGTTTACCGGAAAAGGAGTGCCAGGGCGAGACGTGTTCCTCAAAGCCGAGGAACAGGATTTGCGAGTAACGCATGCTGTGAGGCACTTCAAACAAATGTAGTAGATACGACGTGGCCTTTCATCCCGTCCTCCCTGAAGGTTGTGCTCTGCCCAGGCGGATCAGAGTGTTGGAGTGTGTAGGCATCATTTCGTGTGCCCGCTCCCACCCCCACTCTTCCCACTTCAATCCCGCACTTCAGGTGGCGATGAGCATGGGCGAGCCGTACGCGTCCTCCCTGGAGCTGGTGTCCTTCCACACCGTCTCCAAGGGCACGTTTGGGGAGTGCGGGCAGCGCGGCGGGTACATGGAGGTCTTCAACATCGACGAGGGCGTGAGTATGGGAGGAGGTCCTTGTAACTTCAGAAACATCAGTTGAAGGACTGTTGCCATCTAGCACTGAACTTCTTGCAAGTATTATGGTCTCCTGTACTACAAATTTCTCTTGCCTCCAATGACTTTGACTGCCATAATCCACGTTCTCACATTCCCACATTCTCACATCCCCATGCGTGTGTGCGGGCCACTACAGGTGTGCCAAGAGCTCTACAAGATGTCATCCATCAGCCTCTGCCCCAACCTGTGCGGCCAGCTCATGGTCAGTCACTCCAACGCTTTCTGGTCAGCTCAAGACTTCTGGTCAGCTCAATGACAGTCAAGAGTCTATGTTGCTTCCATACCACTGATCGGCGCTAAATCGTTTGCTTGCATTCTGCTTCCTCCTTTTCCACATTGTCTTCAGGTGGGCCTCATGGTGAACCCCCCAGCTCCTGGTGATGCTTCGTACGAGGAATTCACAGAGGAGAGGTGAGCGGGAAAGAAGGGAGAGTGGAGAGATGAAGCTTCGTAGCTTGAGGGCTGAGGCGGTATCACTCCAGATGTAACAAGCTATTTACACTAGGATTATAACACGAGGATGGTGGGGATGTGCAATGTGAGCATTGTACAGATGCATGTTGCCTTGAATGGTGTCAGCAACATGAGCATTGTACAATGTGAATGAGCTTGCTCATTATTCTTCCCTGTCCTATTGTCACATGTGCTGTGTGTGGTTGGGGTTGGGGATGGGCTTGTGGTGTTTATGGTGGTGTTTGTGGTTGGGCTTGGGTCAACAGGAGCTCACGGCTGGCCTCTCTGCGTCGCCGTGCGCACACAGTCACAGAGGGGTTCAACAGCTGCAAGAACGTCACCTGCAACTTCACAGAAGGTGCGGGCACGCACAGCTGGGATTACTGACATTCCAATGGCCCACAACACGCAATAATCTGTCCAAGGTTTCTCTTCAGCCCGCTGCTACCTGGGAACTTAGGCTGCAGCCAGGGTGCCTGAAGTTCACACTGCCCGTCAACAAGCCATAGCCTCTCTTTTTGTGTCTTCCTCCCTCTCCCCACTCCCTCACAAACCCCACCCACCAGGCGCCATGTACTCCTTCCCCAGGATCAACCTGCCTGAGAAGGCCCTGGAGGCCGCCAAGGCAGCAGGCAAGGCGCCGGATGTGTTCTACTGCCTGCGGCTGCTGGAGGCCACTGGCATCACTGCTGTGCCGGGATCCGGATTCGGGCAGAAGGAAGGGTGAGTGGTGTATGCTGACTGCACGGGTGTCATGCGGATGTGCGTTGATGTGGTCTGAAGGTTTGATGAGTGTAAATGAAGCATTTTACTGCCTGGGGCTGCTGGGGGCCATGGGCATCGCCGCCGTACCGGGGTCTGAATTCGGGCAGAAGGGTGATTGGCGCACGCCGGAGGCAGTGTTTTGTGAATGTGCTTTGATGCATTGTGTTTCATTACCTCCTATGTCTACTAACCATTTCAGCCCCTACTCACCTGTTTTGTATACTTGATCTTTCCACTTTCCAGGACCTTCCATCTGCGCACAACCATTTTGCCAAGTGAAGAGAAGATCCCAGAGATGATGGCCAAATTCAAGAAGTTCAATGACGAGTTCATGGACGAATATGCTTGATGCCATGAACAGTCGTGTGCTTAGCATCTGCTTGTGCTGTATTGTTTTGTTTAGAAGCTGTAGTATCTATTGTGAACGAGCTTGGGAATATTGGTCATTTGCAATTTGTTTCATTATTGGAACACCCGCTGAATGGAAATAAAGCACGCATTATCCGAAACTCGCACACTTGTACTCGTTACAAGTACCCTCAGCTCAGTTCAGTTTGTTCATCCGAGAATCACAGGAAATTCTCGCCAACCAGTTCAGGCGCCTTTTGACCAGAACAATCTCGCCTCCACTACTGGCGTAGCTTCACGACTTGCACAAGTTAGAGCATCCTTTATGCGAAGCAGAGTCATGGCTTCTCTAACAGCCGTAGGGAGCGAGGTGCTCGTCGGTTCTTTCAGACCCCTCCCTCAGACTGGTGCTTCTGTCGGTCGCACTGCGTCCCTCCCCATCAGCTCTGCGCTCTCCACACGTTGCTCGTTCCAAAGCCGAAACCCTAATCCGAGGCGAGGAGCTTCAGTGGTCAGGAGAGCGCTAAGCGGGGGTCCGAACCGCAACCGCGACGAGAAGAATGACCCGGGAAAAGTGATCGAGTTTTCAGGGTCTGATGATAGCGACGTGGAAGCAGCGAGCAAGGAGAAGTCCACGGGTCAGCTGGATGACATCGGCGCGGAGCTAGCTCGCCTTAGGCAGGAACGCGCCGCAGCGGAAACAGCGGCGAAAGCTGATGAAGGAGTTGGCGGATTCTGGCGTGGCGTGCTGGAGGAGACGCAGATGATTCAATGGCCGGCTTTCACGTCCGTCCTGGGAACGACTGGCGTGGTGGTTGTCGTCATCGTGTCCTCCGCTGTCGTCCTGCTGACCGTCAATGCCGTGCTAGCCAATGTCTCAGACGCTCTTTTTGAGTTGCCAGCAGTCAGAGAGCTGTGGCACCTGTAAGCTCTGTTGCTTCCACGCCCAAGGAGGCCTTTTAGGAGGTTTTCTTAGTTTGTTAATGCTTGAGGAGAGGACAGCCACGTGCAATGCAGTGGTTATCATTGCAGCTGAAGATTAATGTGCCATGAGCAAGTGTGAAGGAGGCTATGCTTGGGTTGGCTAGTTGACGGCCATTTGAAGCCTTTTTGCAAAGACAACGACAAGCGAATGAATGAATGTGTTTCATCTGAATAGCAAGAAGTTCAAAATCTGAGATACCAGAGCTTGTTGAGCACAATCAACATTTGCATTGACGCACATGCTATTATTTAAGATATTAGGCTTCTCGTGTGTTTCAATGTAGCGGGTCTCTGCTTATTGAAGTGGTTATGGTTTTTGGTGATGTCCGTGACAAGTGTCTGCGTCCACGATTCTCAGGGGCGCTGAGGTGGCCATCCCTGATATGTCGTGCTCAATCCACATCCAGTCAGTTCAGCAATCAGCCAGCACTGCCGCTTTTCGTCGTCAGCCACCACACACAGTAACACAACGTTACGCGAATTGGTCGTTATCATCCGTGAGGCACAAGAATCCCCCTTCGCGATTGGTGATCCCTGTAACTGATTGAAGCAGGCTTTCAGGCTATCAAATTAGGCCTCGTTGTTCGTCGCGAGACTTCCTTGAAGGAATTCTCAGGTCTCAGCCATTCCCCGCCTCTCAACGATCCCAGCCTTCCCGAACGTGCTTCAAGGCCCACCCTGTTTCTCCCGCTCACTCGCTCAAGGCCTTTCCCCTCTCTCACATGCCTTCTAGGGTTTCCCAAAGCCCTTCATTTTTGCACCTAGGCCCCGCCATCATTGGCTTGCTTTTCCGTCAGGCGCAGGGAGAGTAGGAGGCACTGCACAGTCGTCCGTGTTTCCGCGTAGCCTCTCACTTTGCGTAGCTCGTTGGATTCAAACGATACTATGGCCCACGCCATGGCTTCCGTGTCGGGAGCAGCTCTCTCCTTTGAGAAGCTCTCTCTCTCCACCGCCTCCTCCCTCTCCATGTCTCGCTCCTCCTTCGTCTCCTCTCCCGCTCTCGTCGCCTGCCGGCCAGTCGCTCTCTCCGCGAAATGCGGCCCGTCGGTCGCGGTGGTGACGGCGCAGGCCGTGGCGGACGTCGCGGCGCCTGCTGCGCAGCGGCCCTCCGGGCTTTTGTCGGGAACAGATCCCGCGTGGAAGCTGGGGACAGCGGATAAGGCGCGCCTTAAGACGTACTATGAGACTGCCGTGGTTCCCGCTATGCTCGCGGAGTTCGGATACGCGAACCCCCAGGAGGTGCCACGTGTCGAGAAGGTGGTGGTCAACTGCGGCATTGGCGACGCGTCGCAGAGCGCTAAGGTGCGTTGCCGAACGAGAATGTGCGTGGTACTAAGGCGCTGTTAATTAGTGATCCGACGACTAGACATCAGAGTCGGTCGGCATTGCTTGAGGATAGAGGGAAAGCGCGATTGCAGATTTGGCTTTTGAAGAGACTAAAATAGTAGTAACTGGCATTGCGCGTAAAGGCTTCTGCGAGTTTCGGCTTCAGTTCGAAGTGGTTGTTTAGGCATAGCTAGACTTGGATTATGAACGTGAGTCGAACGAACAGCTTTCCATCTCCGACCACGTGAATAGTCTAGCTAGACGTAAGAATCCGCTCGTTATAGGGGGGACGTGAAGGATTATAGCGCGACGAGCGGGGGTGTTGGGTCGGGTGCAGCCTCGGATGGAGTCGCAGGGGGTCGTTTGACCCAGTGGAGCATCGCATCGCGTACCGTCGCAGTTTCGCACAGCCGTCGCACAGTAGCGGTTGCCGAGACCACGGCCTCCTATGTCTACGTTCACGCGCATCGCCGTGGCAAGCCCCGCCCTTTGGAAGCTCAAGCGGTGTCCTTCGAAAGAAAGACAGAATAGGGCAGAATTGCAGCGGAGAGCAAGGGAGAAGGCGAAGCAAAGGAATCACTTAGCCTCGACCAGAAAGTTCAACTCCTAGGACTTTCTGTTCGAACCGCTTGTCCGAGATTCGCGATACACCTGTCGAGGGGCTGCCTTTGCTGTCGGTAGGGAGATTGTCAGGCAGCAGTCTTCGAGAATTCCTCCCATTTCCATCCCCACCTAAAATTTGGGCATTTTTTTCACATTCCCCCCTTCCCAGACTCTCGACAGCGCGGCCAAGGACCTGGCGGCGATGACAGGGCAGTGGTACTATCGTCTCAGCGTCTCTCCCCCTCCCTCCCTTTCCTCCCCTTCACCACCTTCCCCGCTTCTCAAACCCTCGACAGCGCAGCCAAGGACCTGGCGGCAGTGACGGGGCAGCGGTACTATCGTCTCAGCGTCTCTGCTTCGTTTCCTCTCCACTACCACGAGGTTTTTTCAACACCGTCCTTTTGTTGCCCCTCCCCCCCCCCCACTTCCCCCCATCCCCGCGCAGACCCTCGACAGCGCGGCCAAGGACCTGGCGGCGGTGACGGGGCAGCGGCCCGTGGTGACGCGCGCGCGGAAGGCCATTGCGGGGTTCAAGCTGCGCGCGGGCGTGCCCGTGGGAATGGCGACCACGCTCCGCGGACAGGTGGGGAAGGGGAATGGGAGAGGCCGGGGAGTAGGGGCCGGCGGGAGGCGGGGGGGGGGGAGGGGTACTTGCAAGCGCGGAGGGTCATTGCGGGGTTCCAGCTGCGCGGGGGCGTGCCCGTGAGAATGGCGACCACTCTGACAGGGAGGATGCGGGGGAAAGGGGTAACGGCGGGGTACTGGGATTGATTGCGGGGGACGCGCGCGCGTGGAAGGCCGTCGTGGGCGTGCGAGCGTGCTCGTGAGGATGGCGGGTATGCTCTGTGATAGAAGGGAGGTGGAGAGACGGACGGGTGAGAGAAGTGGCCGATTGATAAGGGGGGGAGGAAGAGTGAAGGGGGGGGGGGGGGGTAGAGGAAGTGGTGGAAGAAAGGGAGAAAGGAAACGGAAGGGAGAGAGGATGGCAGGGGGGAGGAAACAGGTTGAGTGTGATATTGGTGAGAGTTGGAGTGACTTAAAGGGTGATGGGAGGGATGCAGTGGCGGGGGAAACTGAGTGAATTCAGGTGCCCCTCCTTCTCCATCCCTTCCCGCGTCCCCCAGCCCACCCCCTCCGCCCCCTCCCCCACCTCCCCCTTTCTTATACGGTAAAGCTATACTGAGTAACGTAAACAGAAAAAAGAGCTCCGTAAACTTTTCATGAATAGGAACCATCTAGATGATCCGGGGAAAAGCCTTGTCAACCTTGACACTCTCCCCCCTTCTGCCCCACACCCCCATCTCCTTCAATCTCTCTCAAATCATCTACACCTGTCTGGACCGCCTTATCAACCCCCATGCGCAGCTGCCACGTCACCTCAGAACCAGTTTTGCGCTCGCCTTCTCCTCAGAAATTGCATTTTGCACTCCTCGCATTCCCCCCCTTCTCGTGGCCCCACCCCCACCTTTCTCCCTCTCCCTCAGACTATGTACACATATTTCGATTGTCTCATCAACCCCGCTCTCCCCCGCATGCACGACTTTCTTGTCACCTCAGTAACCACCTCTGCATCTCACTGCACTCCTTGCATTTCCCATCTCCCTCGCTCTCCCCCCAACTCCCCTCCATACCCCTCCCTCTCAGATCATGTACGCCTATCTCGATCGTCTCATCAACCTTGCTCTCCTTCACATCGCATCAGTAACCACCTCTGCATCCTGCGCTCCTTGCATTCTCCCCCTGCTCCCCCCCCCCCCCCCCTCTCCTCCCCTCCTTACCTCCCCCCTTCCTCAGATCATGTACGCATATCTCGATCGTCTCATCAACCTCGCTCTTCCCCGCATGCGCGATTTCCGCGGGGTCTCCCGCGGGGGCTTCGACGGCCGCGGCAACTACTCCATGGGCCTGGCCGAGCAGACCCTGTACCCAGAAATCCGGTTCGACGAGATTGACAAGACCCGCGGCATGGACATTTCCATTGTCACCACGGCTAAGACTGATGGGGAGGCTCAGCGGCTGCTGGAGCTTCTGGGCGTGCCATTTAGGGAGGGGCCTGTGCCGGTTAAGGAGGCGAAGGGCAAGGGGAAGGGGCGGGGGCGTGGGCGCGGGGGTAAGCAGCAGCAGAAGAGCAAGAAGAGGTAGAGGGGTGTGGTGTGGAGGTTTTGTTTGAATTCGAGGAATTAGGTTAGGAGTGTGATGTGTGTTCTTGGAAGCTGTAGCAGCAAGTCAGCTGTACACGTACATTAAACCCAAAGGCTTCGACTAAGTATACATTAAGTCACTGATCAGCGGGCAACTCATCTAGCTTGTAATTCATTATTAGTTGGCACTAGTCATATAAGAATATGGGGTGTTTATCCTTGTGGCGAATCGTGACAAGAGTTTCCCCAGATTCTTCCCTGAAGTGCTTTTTTTTCGCGTGTCACTGTCAGCCACTCCTTTGTCGCGAAATAGTCGCCCAAGCGGCGGATGGTTTCGGACCAGAAGCACGGCTGAGAAACATTCGTCCATTCTCAGACATCAAACGAAAATTCACCAGACTGTAACTCATTGAACCGCAAAGCAGAGAGTAAAACCGTTTTACAGACGACTCATGAACAGAATGTGCCGCGCCCTGACAAGAGTAGTCTGTTCTGTAGCAGCTTGGTGTAACAGCAGGCATGCATGCATAAAGTAACAATCGTCGCCTCGCCTCGCCTCGCCTCGCCTCGCCTCGCCTCGCCTCGCCTTGCCTCGCCTCGCCTGCCTGGGAGGGAAGGGGAGGAGGGAGCAGCCATCAAGCAAGAAAACGCCCTTCTCCGCTGTGTCTAGCCTACCCTCCCACCATCACCCCCGCCCGCCGTCACATTTTTTTCCGAGAGGTGTGCTAGCCGAGCGTGGTTATTACGCCATTGTTTCGGAGCGAGATTTGGAAACATCGTGTTTCGGTCTTGTTTCGATGTCTGGTTTCTATGGCTGGGTTCTTATTGCTGTGAAATTGTAAAGAAACGGTGCAAGCTGTCACATTCCTGCTCGTGTAGCCACAGTCGCCTCGCGAAGTTTGGCGAACACGCAACGTCGCGCGTGAACCGCCCCTTGTTACATCAGTAACTTTCGAGTCGACTCAATAGTCACTTCGGTTGCCGCACACGCTTCTTGGTTGCTAGTACGCCCCGCCTTGCCACATTCCGGTATCCTACATCCCTGTGACAGTCGTCATATTCGCACTCGCTTTCGTAAGCCGACGAAATTGTGTAGCGTTTCGCGACAGCTGCTGATCATGCCAGAATCTGGTCCCTGCAGTCGAGGTGATGACTCAGCAGGTAACCGCTCCGCGCGGCTGGATTTGAACCTCGAGTATTCCGCGCAGCCCTGTATTGCGGAGCTCTGCGCGGAGCAGCGGGCGGAAGGTTGCAGGGGCGCGGGGATTTCCGCAGAAAGGGGAGAATCCCTTGCGGAGAGGGGGGATTTTTCAGCGGGGAGGGGATTTTTGGATACAGCTGCGGCGGTGGGGGAACCGTCGGCGGGAGATGACACCGCAGGGTCGGGGGAAACAGCGGTGGGCGGAGAGGGTGGCGGAGCGGAGGCGGAAGAGTCGGAGGGCGGAGACGCGGAAGAGCCGGCGGCATTAGACGATCTCGTCGGAAGGGCCTCGCGCTTTGCGCAGAGACTAGCGCAGCGGAGACTCCAGGCGGCGGGAGAGCGCGCGGGGGGGGACGCGCAAGCAGGCGGAAGAGGAGGCGGAGGCGGAAACAGCAGTGGCGGCGCAGGCGCTGGCGGAAGAGAAGGCGCGGACCGCACCCGCGCGGGAAGGACGGCGGGGGAAAGCGGGGAAGGCGGAGTGGGGAGGAGCGGGGGGAACACGGGGGAGGCTTTCAGGCTATCTTAGCGGCAATAGGGGCAGGGGAGGATGATGAGGCCGCAGGGGGGATGGCGACACGGATAACGATTGTGAGAACAGCGAGGACGAGGATAAAGAGGAGAGTGGTGATACTAGCGAGGATACTAGCAGTAACGATAGTGACGATTCAGATGGGGAGGAGGAGGGGGAGGGGGAGGATAAAAGCGAGAGCAGTAGCGGAGAGAGCAGTGACGAGGATGACAATAGCGAGGATGACAGTAGCGAGGATGATAATAGCGGGTACGGCCACCAGGCGGGCAGGGGGAGCGATTTCTGGTTCACGTTCGGCGCGCGGACGGGGATGAGCGACGAGGGGGAGGCGGAGGCGGAGGCGGGGGAAGGGGGCGCGCGGGGGAGGGGGGAAAGGGGCAAGCGGAAAGGGTGGGTGAGTCGGAAGGAGGCTGCGCGCGCGTTTAGCGCGCATCCCGTGGCGCATGTGACGCGCGTATGGTCGTCTGCGCATGGCAGGACCTCCGCGCTCTGCAGGAAGAGGCGGAACGGGGGGAGCGGGGGAAGCGGGGGGAGCGGGGGAAGCGGGGGGAGGGGACGGGAGGAAGTGCGGAAACAGGCAGAGATGGGGGCGCTGTGGGATTTTGGGGGGACGGGGGAGGGGGAGGGGGAGAGGGGGGAAGGGGAGGGGAGCGGGGAGAAGCGGAAGGGGAAGGGGAAGAAGAGGGGTGCAGAGCGGTGTGACACGGTGAACGTGCACCAGATGCTGCTGTCTCGAGAAGTGAATGTGTCGGTGCGTTTGGATTGAATGATTTGTTTCAGCCTGTCCAACTCAATTCTGAATTTGAATTGGAATCCAAAGAGAGTCACCACCGTTCCATTTGTTTGTTGCACATACCCCCCTTGGCCTGCGTCAACACGCATCTATGTGCTTTGAGCTTTGAGTCGACTCAACAGGCGCATGACCATGCATCAGCGAGCATGACCATGCATCAGCGAGCATGACCATGCATCAGCGAGCATGACCATGCATCAGCGAGCATGACCATGTATCAGCGAGCATGACCATGCATCAGCGAGCATGACCATGTATCAGCGAGCATGACCATGCATCAGCGAGCATAGGACAACCGTATGGTTCACTTAGAAGGAGCATGACTCTTCAAACCCCAACACACCCCAGCCCTTCCTTTTCCATTCGCCACTCACAGAGATTTGGGCGATTCAGCGAGTCGGATCGGTGTCACCTGGCGCAGTCCTTCCTCCCGTGCGATGGCCCCATGGTGGTGGATAAGGTGGCGTCGCGGGCGTACATCGGCCAGTTCAGCGGCGATGGCGACCTGTTCGTTGCTGGCTTCCAGGTGGGTGGATGGGGAGTAGATGCATGAAGGCCGAAAAAAAGAGGTGTTTCGTTCCCCCAACGCCCCCATGGTGGTGGGCAATGTGGCATTGCGCGCGTATATAGGCCAGTTCAGCGGGGATGGGGATCTCTTCGTGGCTGGCTTTCAGGTGAGTGGGAGGGTATTTGCTGTGGGGTGGGTATGGGACGGGCTCAACACGGCCTTATCAGCACCATGGTGGTGGATAAGGTGGCATCACGCGCGTACATCGGCCAGTTCAGCGGCGATGGGGACCTGTTCGTTGCTGGCTTCCAGGTGGGTGGAAGGGGAGTAGATGCATGAAGGCTGAAAAAAAGAGGTGTTTCGTTCCCCCAACAGCCCCATGGTGGTGGGCAAGGTGGCGTCGCGCGCGTATATCGGCCAGTTCAGCGGGGATGGGGATGTCTTCGTGGCTGGCTTTCAGGTGAGTGGGAGGGGAGTGAGAGCATGTAGGCTTTGTAAGCGTCTCCCCATGGTCTCCATGGTGGTGGGCAAGGTGGCATTGCGCGCGTATATAGGCCAGTTCAGCGGGGATGGGGATCTCTTCGTGGCTGGCTGTCAGGTACTTGGTTGGCAGGGAATTGGCTGTGGGGCGGGTATGGGACGGGCTCAACACGGGCTTTTCAGCACCATGGTGGTGGATAAGGTGGCATCGCGCGTGTACATTGGGCAAATCAGCGGCGATGGGGACCTTTTCGTGGCAGGCTTCCAGGTGGGTGGAAGGGTGAATGTATTTGTGTGTGTGGTTCAGCTGCCTGTGGGTGGGTAGCAGATGGCCACAGCACAGCCTTCTTGGCCCCATGCTGGTGGGCAAGGTGGCATGGCGCGCGTATATCGGGCAGTTCAGTGGCAACGGAGGAGACTTGTTCGTGGCTGGCTTTCAGGTACTTGGCCGGGACTCTATATGCCTAGGGGGCTGGCTGTGGGGTGGGTACGGGACGGGCGCGGCACAGCCTCATAAGCCCCATGGTGGTGGACAAGGTTGCATCGCGGGCGTTCATCGGGCAGTTGAGTGGCGATGGCGACCTGTTTGTGGCTGGCTTGCTTCCAGGTGAGGAGGAGGGGTGAATGTGTACATACAGGTGAATTTTGAGTCGACTCAAACTTCGCATGGGCTGTGGGCAGGGGAGTAGAGGCATGTGAGTGAGCTGTTGCCCTTGAGGTGCATCACTACCACCATTATTTCAATTGCTTGTTACTCAATTGGAAAGTTGCTTCCACTTTCCCTCCACTACCTCTACATCGATCACCAATTCCCTCTATTGCTCTCCCTTCTCTTGTGCCCTATGCCAACCATCTCGCGCGCGATCAGGACCGTCGGATTCGTGTGTACGATGTGGATCGAGGGTGGGCGTTGAGGAAGGATGTGATAGCTCGCAACCTCAGATGGACCATCACCGACACTGCACTCTCTCCTGACCAACGATTCCTGGTACGTATCTTGTGGTAACATGGTAACCGCAAGTTGAACGTGATGGTTGGACCATCACTGACACTGCACTCGCTCCTGACCAGCACTTTCTGGTAACCCCTTTACTGTAGAAATCGCTCAAGTAGCTAGCGGTGGTAACTGCCTAAACAGCTTGTGGTAGAGGTTGAATATGATAAGTGATAATGACAAGTGGTGGTAACCCTTACAAGTGGTGGTAACCCTTACAAGTGGTGGTAACCCTTACAAGTGGTGGTAACCCTTACAAGTGGTGGTAACCCTTACAAGTGGTGGTAACCCTTACAAGTGGTGGTAACCCTTACAAGTGGTGGTAACCCTTACAAGTGGTGGTAACCCTTACAAGTGGTGGTAACCCTTACAAGTGGTGGTAACCCTTACAAGTGGTGGTAACCCTTACAAGTGGTGGTAACCCTTACAAGTGGTGGTAACCCTTACAAGTGGTGGTAACCCTTACAAGTGGTGGTAACCCTTACAAGTGGTGGTAACCCTTACAAGTGGTGGTAACCCTTACAAGTGGTGGTAACCCTTACAAGTGGTGGTAACCCTTACAAGTGGTGGTAACCCTTACAAGTGGTGGTAACCCTTACAAGTGGTGGTAACCCTTACAAGTGGTGGTAACCCTTACCTCTCCATCCTCGCATGCATGGCTTAAGTCCTTCAACCATGTCTACCATGTTTCTCGCCTCTCTTCTCTCCTCTCTCTCTCTCTCTCTCTCTCTCTCTCCTCTCCTCTCTCCTCCTCTCTTCCTCTTCTCTTCTCTCCTCTTCTCTCCTCTTCTCTCCTCTTCTCTCCTCTTCTCTCCTCTTCTCTCCTCTTCTCTCCTCTTCTCTCCTCTTCTCCTCTCTCCGCCCCTCTTCTCTCCTCTTCTCCTCTCTCCGCCCCTCTTCTCTCCTCTTCTCCTCTCTCCGCCCCTCTTCTCTCCTCTTCTCCTCTCTCCGCCCCTCTTCTCTCCTCTTCTCCTCTCTCCGCCCCTCTTCTCTCCTCTTCTCCTCTCTCTTCTCCTCTCTCTTCTCCTCTCTCGTTCCTGTCTGCCTGTCCTCTCCCCACAGGTGTATGCATCAATCACACCCATCGTGCATCTGGTGAATGTCGGCTATGGGAGTGGGGAAGTTGAGTCGCTTGCAAATGTCACGGTGAGTAAAGCACACTGTTGGCAAGTGGGTATCAGTTGTTGTGAAGATTCTCCATGCATGACAATGTCAAATATTTCCGCATCCCTTTTTTTTTTAATCTTTGTTTTGCTTAGTTTGGCATTTAGAGAAGATTGAATTGCACGGGTTCAGTCGAGACACAGGGACTGCAGCTTTAAGCTCTTTCCTTGCTCATCCCGCCTTGATATTTTTCCCTCCGTCCCCCCCTGCCATCAGGACATACACGAGGAGTTGAATTTCACAGCGGTGGAGTCGCGGCGCAGGGAGCGCAGCTTTGGCATCTGGTCGCTGCAATTCTCATCCGACGGTCGGGAGCTCATCGCGGGCAGCAGCGATCGCTCGCTCTATGTGTTTGACCTCGAGAGGAATCAGCCCATCCTTCGAGTCAAGGCCCATCAGGTAGGTTAGGGGGGCACCTGCTGGCTTCGTGCTTGCACCTCAGCTGACTTTTGAGTCGACTCAAAAGGCACCTCAGCTCATCGCGGGCGGCAGCAATCGTTCCCGGTACGCCGTGACAATCGCATTTGCAAGGTGTGGGTGGGACCGCCGATTGCTTTCATCTGCCACTTGTCGCTCGCCTCCTCCCCTTTCTCCCAACCCAGGATGATGTCAACGCAGTAGCGTTCGCAGACGAGACCTCGCAGCTCATCTTCTCCGGCAGTGACGATCGCCTCTGCAAGGTGTGGGACCGCCGATTGCTCGACAACACCGAGCCCATCGGGCCCCTGCGCCTGCTCGACCCCGTGGGACCCATTCACATTGGTGCTGCTGCTGCTGCTGCTGCTGGTGGTGGTGCTGCTGGTGGTGGTGGTGCTGCTGGTGGTTGTGGTGGTGGTGCTGCTGCTGCGCGTGGTGTTGGTGGTGGTGGCAGTGGTGGGGGGGAGAGGCAGGGGGTGGGGTGCCGGAACAAGCCAGTGGGGGTGCTGGTGGGGCACACAGAGGGGATAACGCATCTGGCTTCTAAAGGGGATGCGAGATGCTTCCTTACCAACGGCAAGGATCAAACGATGAAGCTGTGGGACATTCGAGTCATGATGGACCCTGCTGCTTATGAAGAGTGAGTTAATAACGAGTACATGTTAGCATGTGTGCGAGTGAGTGAGCGTTCAGTCAGTGGCACAAACGGCAAGGACCGAACGATGAAGCTGTGGGACATTCGAGTCATGATGGACCCTGCTGCTTATGAAGAGTAAGTCTATAACGAGTACATGTAAGCATGTGTGTGAGTGAGTGAGATACTGCTGCTGCTTGCTTATGACGAGTGACTTCTGCTTGTACGAGTACATTTCGATGCTTCAAGGGGCATTCAATAATGTTTTGTTACCCATATTACAGAAGGCCACTCTTCCTTCATCTTGCTTAGTAACACCGCTCTCCGCTCCCCCCTTGTTATCGTCCCTCCATCCATCCCCCCATCTGCTGGTCGTATTGCCAGTACTGCTACCCTGCTCTTGAGAATTCTCAAAACAAGCTCATCCGCCGCTACTTCTCCCCCCCCTCTCTCCCCTCTCTTGTCTCTCTTTCTCACACTCTCTGCCTCTGCGCCTCTTCTTTTCTCTCTCTCTGTTTTTCTGCCCCCCCTGCCTTGCTCCTCAGCTTGCCACCCCCTCGGATTCCCTTCTTCCAGTGGGACTATCGCTGGAAGAACTACCCCGGGAGGGGCATGTCAGTTGGCTCAGTCTATCCGTCTCTCTGCCCCTGTGTCCGCCCCTGTCTCTGTCTGTCCCGATTTCCCCCTTTCCAGTCTCCCTCCGCCTCGCATCCCCTTCTTCCAGTGGGACTATCGGTGGATGGACTATCCAGGCAGGGGCATGAGGGTCGCCCATCCCAACGACCAGAGCTTCACTAGGAGAGAGGGGTTGTAGGCTCTAGACAGTAGGCTATGCTAAGTGCTAAGAGCTAGGCTGATGACTAAGAAATAAGATCCTAGTGCTCTCTCTCTCTCTCTCTCTCTCTCTCTCTCTCTCTCTCTCTCTCTCTCTCTCTCTCTCTCTCTCTCTCTCTCTCTCTCTCTCTCTCTCTCTCTCTCTCTCTCTCTCTCTCTGTCTCTTTGCCCCCCCTGCCATGGTCCTCAGGTTGCCACCGCCTCGAATCCCCTTCTTCCAGTGGGACTATCGGTGGATGGACTATCCAGGCAGGGGAATGAGAGTGGCCCATCCCAACGACCAGTCACTCATGACGTACCGCAACCACCACGTGCTGCAGACGCTCATCCGCTGCTACTTCTCGCCTCTGCACTCCACGGCGCAGCGATTCGTGTATTCCGGCTCGCACGACGGCGCTGTGTATATCTTTGACCTGGTATGTGTGTGGTACAGTGTGGGTACAGTGTGGTACAGTGTGGTACAGTGTGGTACAGTGTGGGTACATGAGAGAATGGGTGCGACCTGCCATGAGCCCATGCCTTTCTTCTCCCCTCTGCACTCCACGGCCCAGCGCTTTGTCTACTCTGGGCCGCACGGTGGGGCCGCCTACATATTTGACCTGCTATGTGGTAGAGAGTGAGTGACATGCGAATGGGTGTTAGTCAGCTGCCATGGGTTTATGCGCTTCCCCCCCCCTCCACCTACTGACAGGCAAGCAAGTGGCAAAGCTGAAGCACCACGGGTCGACTGTCCCGGACTGCTGTCGGCACCCTATTTGGCCACCTCTTGGTGTGTCTCTTCCATCTCTACCTCTTTGCATCCTTCCTCCCCTCCCTCCGCTGCTGTTTTGCAGTTGACAGGCAAGCAGGTGGCAAAGCTGAAGCACCACGGGTCGACGGTCAGGGACTGCTGCTGGCACCCCACACGGCCCGCCCTGGCGTCGGTGGGGTGGGACGGCAAGGTGGCTGTGTGGGAGAGCTTTCACGGGGAGACGCCCCCTGAGTGCAAGAAGATGCGGCAGATCCCCGTGACTAATCATGAGGATATATTTGACGAATAGAGAGGGGGTGGGAGGTACGGCAGGTGGGTGAGTGGGAAGGGGGCGTTGTTGATCCAATGGGTGCGACGGCAAGGTGGCTGTGTGGGAGAGCTTTTACGAAGAGACTCCCGCTGAATGCAAGAAGATGCGACAGATCCCCGTGACTAACCATGGGTATATTTGATGGGAGGTATGGGAGGCTTGGGAGGTATGGGAGTGGGTGAGTGAGGAAGGGGGTTGTGGAGGGGTAGTACAGGGATGTACCCCTTCCTTTGGTGTGTAATATAGCAAGGCACACTCCCCCCATTGCTCATGGGGATAGCTGTGGCAATAGAGGAGGTTGGGGAGGTGAAGAGGGGGAGAGGAGAAGAGGAGTGGGGGAGAGGAGGAGAGGAGGTGGTGGGGAAGGGGCATTGGTGCTGGTTGGAGGGGTGGGGAATGTTCCTCCTATTGTGTAAGATAGTCTCCTTTCCCGCTTTTTGTCAAAGTTATATTTCATATTCCTTAGTTTAGCCTGTAGTGAGTTGCCCCTTAGGGGTACAACATTTCTCTCAATACCCTTCATGTATCCCTTCCATTCCTTAATCTTCCCTAACTATCTCAACATGGTATTAAGAGCACTTAGGTCTTTAGGAATGTTATCTTTCAAGGGCCCACCAAATAAGTTCCGTTCCTGCCCGGCGTTAGTTTTTGCCCTGCCCTGCCCGACGTTTTTGCCCTGCCCAGCACGCTATCGCGCTGCTCCCCTGCCCTGCCCAGCGCTTTCGCGCTGCCCTGCCCTGCCCTGCCCTGCCCTGCCCTGCCCTGCCCTGCCCTGCCCTGCCCTGCCCTGCCGCGCGTAGCCCGTACAGCCCGCGCAAGGCCCGCACACAGCCCGTACAGCCCGCGCGCACCTGCCCTGCCCCACGTGTTAGCCCTGCGCCGCCCGTGAGCGCCTGCCCTGCGCTCTGCCGGCGACCCACGAGCTGCCCGCACACTGCCCGCGCGTGCCTTGCTGCCCAGCGCCAGCTCGTGCCCTCCCTGCTACCCAGCACCAGCGCGTGCCCTGCTAGCGCTGCCCGTGCCTGCCCTGCTACCCAGCACCAGCGCGTGCCCTGCTAGCGCTGTCCGTGCCTGCCCTGCTACCCAGCACCAGCGCGTGCCCTGCTGCCCCGTGCCTGTGCGTGCCCTGCTGCCCCGTGCCCGAGCTCCCCTGACCTGCCCTGCTAGCGCTGCCCACGCCTGCCCAGCCCGTGAGCTCGTGCTGCTGCTGCAGTTCCCGCCCGCACGCTGCCCTGCACCGTGCCCTGCCCGCGCGCTCGTGCTGCTGCTGCAGCTGCTGCCCGCACGCTGCCCTGCACCGTGCCCTGCCCGCGCGCTCGTGCTGCTGCTGCAGCTGCCGCCCGCACGCTGCCCTGCACCGTGCCCTGCTAGCGCTGCCCGTGCCTGCCCTGCTGCGCACTCGTTCTACTGCTGCTGCTGCCGCCCGCACACTGCCCTGCACCGTGCCCTGCCCACGCGCTCGTGCTGCTGCTGCAGCTGCCGCCCGCACGCTGCCCTGCACCGTGCCCTGCCCACGCGCTTGTGCTGCTGCTGCAGCTGCCACCCGCAAGCTGCCCTGCACCGTGCCCTGCCCACGCGCTCGTGCTGCTGCTGCAGCTGCCGCCCATACGCTGCCCTGCACTGTGCCCTGCCCACGCGCTCGTACTGCAGCTGCAGCTGCCGCCCGCACGCTGCCCTGCACCGTGCCCTGCTAGCGCTGGCCGTGCCTGCCCTGCTGCGCACTCGTTCTACTGCTGCAGCTGCCGCCCGCACGCTGCCCTGCGCCGTCCCTGCCCACATGCTCGTGCTGCTGCTGCAGCTGCCGCCCGCACGCTGCCGTGAACCGTGCCCTGCCCACGCGCTCGTACTGCTGCTGCAGCTGCCGCCCGCACGCTGCCCTGCACCGTGCCCTGCTAGCGCTGCCCGTGCCTGCCCTGCTGCGCACTCGTGCTGCTGCTGCAGCTGCCGCCCGCACGCTGCCCTGCACCGTGCCCTGCTAGCGCTGCCCGTGCCTGCCCTGCTGCGCACTCGTGCTGCTGCTGCAGCTGCCGCCCGCACGCTGACCTGCTCCCTGCCCTGCTGCTACTGGCTGCCACTGACTGCCATGGCCACTACCACTGTCCTACGTCAGCGACAGCCGAGTGTGCAGGAGTCGCTCTCGCCGCAGCAACTTCGTGAGTGGGCTATCTGGTGGGGCAGCCCCGGTGGCGGAGCTAGACGTGCTCGTCGCTTTCGCCATAGCAGCGTCGAGAGTGGGCTGTCCGGTGGGGCAGCCCCGGTAGCGGAGCCTGGGGTGCTACTACTGGAGGTACCTGTGAGTCTACTCCTGCTGGTAGTGCCGCTTGTAGACTCGGAGGTCTTGGGGTGGACAGCAGCAGCAGCAGCGTCCGCCGGAGACTCTCTCCCTGCAGCAGCTTCGTGTGTGGGCTGTCCGGTGGGGCAGCCCCGGTGGCGGGGCTTGGGGTACTAGTGCTGGGGGTGGAGAGGCACCTGGCGGTGTAAAGGCTACTAGTCTAGGTGCTTGTGACTCAGCTAGCACAAGTGCAGAGCCTGAGGAGGCATTGCACACTTTCCTACTCGACTCAGGCGCAACTCGCTGCTTCTTCCGCGACTGCACCACAGTCACACCGCTCACAGCCCCTGTCCTTGTCACTCTGGCCGACCCCTCTGGTGGCCCAGTTGTTGCTCGTAGCTCCACTGTTCTCCCGTGTCCCGCAGCCCCCTCCTCTGGTTCCCTCACAGGTTTCCACCTCCCCTCGTTCACTAGAAACTTAGTGGCTATAGTTGTCCTACAGGACCGGTTTGTCACTGTTACCCAGCCTGGGGGAGAGCTCGTGGCGATCTTTACGGACTCACGCACTGGCGAGCACCTCGCCACGTTCACTCGGAGGCCCGGGTCTGGTCTGTACACACTGACCACTGAGTCCGCACAGGTGGCTGAGTCATGTCAGGTAGCTGCGTCGGTTAAGGTAGCTGCGTCTTGTTCGTGCCGCCTCCTCACACACCAGACACTCCTCTGGCATCACCATCTTGGTCACCCCTCCTTACCACGTCTACGTGACATGCGCTCCCGTCTCCTTGTGTCTGGTCTCCCCGGGTCCTTGGCCCCGCTCCCGAGATCGCTTGCACCGCAGTGCCTTCCTTGCGTCGAGGGGCGGCAGCGCGCCGCTCCTCACTCCTCCTCGTTTCCTCCTTCCACAACTCTTCTGCAGACCCTCCACATGGACGTGTCGGGCCCCGCCCGCGTCACTGGAAAGGGTGGCGAGCACTACTTTCTGCTCGTTGTTGACGACTACACGGGCAACAGAACAGTCTTCCCCTTGCAGAGCAAGGCGGAGGTCCGTAGTGTCTTGATCCGCCGGGTCCGTGTGTTTTCTGCTGTCTCCCTCTTAGGACGAAATTCGTCTGATAACCAGAGCCCTAGGTCTGACGTTCAACCGGGCTCAAATACTAAAGTTGTTATACAATGGTGGTTCGATGCCTTTCCCTACGCCCATAGGACTCTATGCACTTACTTAGCATTCGTCGGCAAGCACTGCCGTCATCGCAGACGCCGAACTTTTCCGTGCGCACGAACCGAGCCGGAACTGATCCGAAACGAGGTTTTTTCTTCAATGTAAAGACGCCATTTGTGACTTCCCGGACCCGCAAATTTACTAGAAAGTGCCTGGGAGTGAAGCGAGATCGATTGGTCAGGAACCTCCACGACGGAAAATTGCCTGCTCCATGATCTGCACAAGTGCAGTTGTGTTCACTTCTCGGGGCTACAAACGTCCGAAACGAGGTTTTTTTCTTCAATGTAAAGACGTCATTTGTGAGTTCGCGGACCTGCAATTATGCTGGAAAGTGCTTGGGAGTGAAGCGAGAGCGATTGGGCAGGGACCTCAACGACAAAAAATTGTCTGCTCCATGATCTGCACATGTGCGGCTGTTTTCGCTTCTCGGGGCTACAAACGTCCGAAACGAGGTTTTTCCTTCAATGCAAAGACACCATTTGTGAGTTCGCGGACCCGTAAATATGCTGGAAAGTGCCTGGGAGTGAAACGAGATCGATTGGTCAGGGACCTCCACGACGGAAAATTGTCTGCTCCATGATCTGCACAGGTGCAGCTGTTTTCGCTTCTCGGGGCTACAAACGTCCGAAGCGAGGTTTTTTCTTCAATGTAAAGACGTCATTTGTGAGTTCACGGACCCGCAATTATGCTGGAAAGTGCCTGGGAGTGAAGCGAGAGCGATTGGTCAGGGACCTCTACGACGGAAAATTGCCTGCTCCATGATCTGCACATGTGCGGCTGTTTTTGCTTCTCGGGGCTACAAACGTCCGAAACGAGGTTTTTCCTTCAATGTAAAGACGCCATTTGTGAGTTCGCGGACCCGCAATTATGCTGGAAAGTGCCTAGGAGTGAAGCGAGATCGATTGGTCAGGAACCTCCACGACGGAAAATTGCCTGCTCCATGATCTGCACAGGTGCAGCTGTTTTCGCTTCTCAGGGCTACAAACGTTCGAACAAGGTTTTTTTATTCAATGTAAAGACGTCATTTGTGAGTTCGCGGACCTGCATTTATGCTGGAAAGTGCCTGGGAGTGAAGCGAGAGCGATTGGTCAGGGACCTCCACGACAGAAAATTGCCTGCTCCCTGATCTGCACATATGCGGCTATTTTCGCTTCTCGGAGCTACAAACGTCCGAAACGAGGTTTTTCCTTCAATGTAAAGACGCCATTTGTGAGTTCGCGGACCCGTAATTATGCTGGAAAGTGCCTGGGAGTAGAGCGAGATCGATTGGTAAGGGACCTCCACGACGGAAAATTGTCTGCTCCATGATCTGCACATGTGCAGCTGTTTTCGCTTCTCGGGGCTACAAACGTCCGAAACGAGGTTTTTTCTTCAATGTAAAGACGTCATTTGTGACATCACCGACCCGCAATCATGCTGGAAAGTGCCTGGGAGTGAAGCGAGAGCGATTGGTCAGGGACCTCCACGACGGAAAATTGCCTGCTCCATGATCTGCACATGTGCGGTTGTTTTCGCTTCTCAAGGCTTAAAACATCAGAAACGAGGTTTTTTCTTCAATGTAAAGACGTCATTTGTGAGTTTGCGGACCTGCAATTATGCTAGAAAGTGCCTGGGAGTGAAGCAAGATCGATTGGTCAGGGACCTCCACGATGGAAAATTGCCTGCTCCATGATCTGCACAGGTGCAGCTGTTTTCGCTTCTCGGGGCTACAAACGTCCAAAACGAGGTTTTTTCTTCAATGTAAAGACGTCATTTGTGAGTTCGCGGACCCACAATTATGCTGGAAAGTGCCTGGGAGTGAAGCGAGAGCGATTGGTCAGGGACCTCCACGACGGAAAATTACCTGCTCCATGATCTACACAAGTGCAGTTGTTTTCGCTTCTCGGGGCTACAAACGTCCAAAACGAGGTTTTTTCTTCAATGTAAAGACGTCATTTGTGAGTTTGCGGACCTGCAATCATGCTGGAAAGTGCCTGGGAGTGAAGCAAGAGCGATTGGTCAGGGACCTCCACGACGGAAAATTGCCTACTCCATGATCTGCACAGGTGCGGCTGTTTTCGCTTCTCGGGGCTACAAACATCCGAAACGAGGTTTTTTCTTCAATGTAAAGACGTCATTTGTGAGTTTGCAGCCCCGCAATTATACTGGAAAGTGCCTGGGAGTGAAGCAAGAGCGATTGGTCAGGGACCTCCACGACGGAAAATTGCCTGCTCCATGATCTGCACATGTGCGGCTGTTTTTGCTTCTCGGGGCTACAAACGTCCGAAACGAGGTTTTTCCTTCAATGTAAAGACGCCATTTGTGAGTTCGCGGACCCGCAATTATGCTAGAAAGTGCCTGGGAGTGAAGCAAGATCGATTGGTCAGGAACCTCCACGACGGAAAATTGCCTTCTCCATGATCTGTACAGGTGCAGTTGTTTTCGCTTCTCGGGGCTACAAACGTCCGAAACGAGGTTTTTTCTTCAATATAAAGACGTCATTTGTGAGTTCGCGGACCTGCAATTATGCTGGAAAGTGCCTGGGAGTGAAGCGAGAGCGATTGGTCAGGGACCTCCACGACGGAAAATTGCCTGCTCCAAGACCTGCATATGTGCGGCTGTTTTCGCTTCTCGCGGCTACAAACGTCCGAAACGAGGTTTTTTCTTCAATGTAAAGACATCGTTTGTGAGTTTGCGGACCTGCAATTATGCTGAAAAGTGCCTGGGAGTGAAGCGAGAGCGATTGGTCAGGGACCTCCACGACGGAAAATTGCCTGCTCCATGATCTTGTCAGAATCCCAGTCACTAACCACTGGGATAAAAGGGCTTGTTTGTATGGCGGGTGAGTGCGCCCATAACCCCCCAGGCCGACGTGCCTGTAACCCTTCCCTAGGATCATCGGGGATCACCAGTGGACCTCTGACACCCCCCCGCACTGGGATGCCCGAAGTGCACACACCGGGAATCGAACCCGAGACCTTCGCTCTGATACCATGTCAGAATCCCAGCCACTAACCACTGGGATAAAAGGGCTTGTTTGTATGGCGGGTGAGTGCGCCCATAACCCCCCAGGCCGACGTGCCTGTAACCCTTCCCTAGGATCATCGGGGATCTCCAGTGGACCTCTGACAGATCTACGCAGGTGCGGTTGTTTTCGCGAGGCTACAAACATCAGAAACGAGGTTTTTTCTTCACAGTGAAGACGTCATTTGTGAGTTCGCGGACCCGCAATTATGCTGGAAAGTGCCTAGAGGTGAAGCGAGATCGATTGGTCTGGGACCTCCACGACGGAAAATTGCCTGCTCCATGATCTGCACAGGTGCGGCTGTTTTCGCTTCTCGCGGCTACAAACGTCCGAAACAAGGTTTTTTCTTCAATGTAAAGACGTCATTTGTGAGTTCGCGGACCTGAAATTATGTTGGAAACTGCGTGGGAGTGAAGTGAGAGCGATTGGTCAGGGACCTCCACGACAGAAAATTGTCTGCTCCATGATCTGCACATGTGCGGCTGTTTTCGCTTCTCGGAGCTACAAACACCCGAAACGAGGTTTTTCCTTCAATGCAAAGACGCCATTTTGAGTTCGCGGACCCGGAATTATGCTGGAAAGTGCCTCGCAGTAGAGCGAGATCGATTGGTAAGGGACCTCCACGACGGAAAATTGTCTGCTCCATGATCTGCACAGGTGCAGCTGTTTTCGCTTCTCGGGGCTACAAACGTCCGAAACGAGGTTTTTTCTTCAATGTAAAGACGCCATTTGTGAGTTCAGTGACCCGCAATTATGCTGGAAAGTGCTTGGGAGTGAAGCGAGAGCGATTGGTCAGGGACCTCTACGACGGAAAATTGCCTGCTCCATGATCTGCGCAGGTGCGGTTATTTTCGCTTCTCAGGGCCTCAAACGTCAGAAACGAGGTTTTTTCTTTAATGTAAAGACATCATTTGTAAGTTTCCGGACCTGCAATTATGCTGGAAAGTGTCTGGGAGTGAAGCGAGATCGATTGGTCAGGGACCTCCACGACGGAAAATTGCCTGCTCCATGATCTGCACAGGTGCGGTTGTTTTCGCTTCTCGGGGCTACAAACGTCCGAAACGAGGTTTTTTCTTCAATGTAAAGACGTCATTTGTGAGTTCGCGGACCCGCAATTATGCTGGAAAGTGTCTGGGAGTGAAGCGAGATCGATTGGTCAGGGACCTCCACGACGGAAAATTGCATGCTCCATGATCTGCACATGTGCGGCTGTTTTCGCTTCTCGCGGCTACAAACGTCCGAAACGAGGTTTTCCCTTCAATGTAAAGACGCCATTTGTGAGTTCGCGGACCCGAAATTATGCTGGAAAGTGCCTGGGAGTGAAGCGAGATCGATTGGTCAGGGACCTCCACGACAGAAAATTGTCTGCTCCATGATCTGCACAGGTGCAGCTGTTTTCGCTTCTCGGGGCTACAAACGTCCGAAACGAGGTTTTCTTGTTTAATGAAAAGACGTCATTTGTGAGATCGCGGACCCGCAATTATGCCGGAAACTGCCTGGGAGTGAAGCGAGAGCGATTGGTCAGGGACCTCCACGACGGAAAATTGCCTGCTCCATGATCTGCACATGTGCGGCTATTTTCGCTTCTCGGGGCTACAAACGTCCAAAACGAGGTTTTTTTCTTCAATGTAAAGACGCCATTTGTGAGTTCGCGGACCCGTAATTATGCTGGAAAGTGCCTAGGAGTGAAGCGAGAGCGATTGGTCAGGGACCTCCACGACGGAAAATTGCCTGCTCCGTGATCTGCACAGGTACAGCTGTTTTTGCTTCTCGGGGCTACAAACGTCCGAAACGAGGTTTTCTTCTTTAATGTAAAGACGTCATTTGTGAGATCGCGGACCCGCAATTATGGTGGAAAGTGCCTGGGAGTGAAGCGAGAGCGATTGGTCAGGGACCTCCACGACGGAAAATTGCATGCTCCATGATCTGCACAGGTGCGGCTGTTTTCGCTTCTCGCGGCTACAAACGTCCGAAACGAGGTTTTTCCTTCAATGTAAAGACACTATTTGTGAGTTCGCGGACCCGTACTTATGCTGAAAGTGCCTGGGAGTGAAGCGAGATCGATTGGTAAGGGACCTCCATGATGGAAAATTGTCTGCTCCATGATCTGCACAGGTGCAGCTGTTTTCGCTTCTCGGGGCTACAAACGTCCGAAACGAGGTTTTTTCTTCAATATAAAGACGTCATTTGTGAGTTCGCGGACCCGAAATTATGCTGGAAAGTGCCTGGAGGTGAAGCGAGAGCGATTGGTCAGGGACCTCCACGACGGAAAATTGCCTGCTCTATGATCTGCACAGGTGCGGCTGTTTTCGCTTCTCGGGGCTACAAACGTCCAAAACGAGGTTTTTTTTTTTTTATGTGAAGACGTGATTTGTGATTTCGTAGACCCACAATTATGCTGGAAAGTGCCTGGGAGTGAAGCGAGAGCGATTGGTCAGGGACCTCCACGACAGAAAATTGCCTGCTCCATGATCTATACATGTGTGCGGCTGTTTTTGCTTCTCGGGGCTACAAACGTCCGAAACGAGGTTTTTCCTTCAATGTTTAAGACGCCATTTGAAAGTTCGCGGACCCGTAATTATGCTGGAAAGTGCCTGGGAGTGAAGCGAGATCGATTGGTCAGGGACCTCCACGACGGAAAATTGCCTGCTCCATGATCTGCACATGTGCAGCTGTTTTCGCTTCTCGAGGCTACAAACGTCCGAAACGCGGTTTTTGTTTCAAAGAAAAGACGTCATTTGTGAGATCGCGGACCCGCAATTATGCTGAAAAGTGCCTGGGAGTGAAGCGAGAGCGATTGGTAAGGGACCTCCACGACGGAAAATTGCCTGCTCCATGATCTGCACATGTGCGGCTATTTTCGCTTCTCGGGGCTACAAACGTCCGAAACGAGGTTTTTCCTTCAGTGTAAAGACGCCATTTGTGAGTTCGCGGACCCTTAATTATGCTAGAAAGTGCTTGGGAGTGAAGCGAGATCGATTGGTCAAGGACCTCCACGACGGAAAATTGCCTGCTCCATGATCTGCGCAGGTGCGGCTGTTTTCGCTTCTCGGGGCTACAAACGTCAGAAACGAGGTTTTTCCTTCAATGTAAAGACGCCATTTGTGAGTTCGCGAACTTGCAATAATGCTGGAAAGTGCCTGGGAGTAAAGCGAGATCGATTGGTCAGGAACCTCCACGATAAAAAATTGCCTGCTCCATGATCTGCACAGGTGCGGCTGTTTTCGCTTCTCGCGGCTACAAACTTCCAAAACGAGGTTTTTTCTTCACTGTAAAGACACCATTGGTGAGTTCGCGGACCCACAATTATGCTGGAAAGTGCCTAGGAGTGAAGCGAGAGCGATTGGTCAGGGACCTCCACGACGGAAAATTGCCTGCTCTATGATCTGCACAGGTGCGGTTGTTTTCGCTTCTCGGGGCTACAAACGTCCGAAACGAGGTTTTTTCTTCAATGTAAAGACGTCATTTGTGAGTTCGTAGACCTCCAATTATGCTGGAAAGTGCCTGGGAGTGAAGCGAGAGCGACTGGTCAGGGACCTCCACGACGGAAAATTGCCTGCTCCATGATCTGCGCAGGTGCGGTTGTTTTCGCTTCTCGGGGCTACAAACGTCAGAAACTAGGACTTTTCTTCAATGTAAAGACGTCATTTGTGAGTTCGCAGATCCGCAATTATGCTCGAAAGTGCCTGGGAGTAAAGCGAAGAGCGATTGGTCAGGGACCTCCACGACGGAAAATTGCTTGTGTCAGAGGTCCACTGGTGATCCCCGATTGATCCTAGGGAAGGGTTACAGGCACGTTGGCCTGGGGGGTTATGGGCGCACTCACCCGCTACATAAACAAGCCCTTTTATCCCAGTGGTTAGTGGCTGGGATTCTGACATGGTATCAGAGCGAAGGTCTTGGGTTCGAATCCCGGTGTGTGCACCTCGGGCATCCCAGTGCGGGGGGGTGTCAGAGGTCCACTGGTGATCCCCGATTGATCCTAGGGAAGGGTTACAGGCACGTTGGCATGGGGGGTTATGGGCGCACTCACCCGCTACATAAACAAGCCCTTTTATCCCAGTGGTTAGTGGCTGGGATTCTGACACCAGGCACTTTCCAGCATAATTGCGGGTCCACGAACTCACAAATGACGTTTTTACATTGAATGAAAAACCTCATTTCTGACGTTTGTAGCCCCGAGAAGCGAAAACAGCCGCACATGCGCAAATCATGGGGCAGACAATTTTCCGTCGTGGAGGTCCCTAACCAATCGCTCTCGCTTCACTCCGAGGCACATTCAAGCACTTTCCAGCATAATTCTGGGTCCGTGAACTCACAAATGACGTCTTTACATTGAAGAAAAAACCTCGTTTCTGACGTTTGTCACCCCGAGAAGCGAAAACAACCGCACCTGCGCAGATCATAGAGCAGGCAATTTTCCGTCGTGGAGGTCCCTGACCAATCGCTCTCGCTTCACTCCCAGGCACTTTCCAGCATAATTGCGGGTCCGCGAACTCACAAATGACGTCTTTACATTGAAGAAAAAACCTCGTTTCGGACGTTTGTCACCCGGAGAAGAAAAAACAGCTGCACCGTTGCAGATCATGGAGCAGACAATTTTCCGTCGTGGAGGTCCCTGACCAATCGATCTCGCTTCACTCCTAGGCACTTTCCAGCATAATTGCGGGTCCGTGAACTCACAAATGACGTCTTTACATTGAAGAAAAAACCTCGTTTCTGACGTTTGTAGCCCCGAGAAGCGAAAACAGCTGCACCTGTGCAGATCATGGAGCAGGCAATTTTCCGTCGTGGAGGTCCCTGACCAATCGATCTCGCTTCACTCCCAGGCACTTTCCAGCATAGTTGTGGGTCTACGAACCCACAAATGGCGTCTTTACATTGAAGGAAAAACCTCGTTTCCGACGTTTGTAGCCCGAAGAAGCAAAAACAGCCGCACATGTGCAGATCATGGAGCAGACAATTTTCCGTCGTGGAGGTCCCTGACCAATCGCTCTCGCTTCACTCCCAAGCACTTTCCAGCATAATTGTGGGTCCGCGAACTCACAAATGACGTCTTTACATTGAAGAAAAAACCTCGTTTCTGATGTTTGTAGCTGCGAGAAGCGAAAAAAACCGCACCTGTGAAGATCATGGAGCAGGCAATTTTCCGTCGTGGAGATCCCTGACCAATCGCTCTCGCTTCACTCCCAGGCACTTTCCAACATAATTGCGGGTCCGCGAAATCACAAATGACGTCTTTACATTGAAGGAAAAACCTCGTTTCGGACGTTTGTATCCGCGAGAAGCGAAAACAGCCTCACCTGTGGAGATCATGGAGTAGACAATCTTCCGTCGTGGAGTCCCTGACCAATCGCTCTCGCTTCACTTCCAGGCACTTTCCAGCATAATTGCGGGTACCTGAACTCACAAATGACGTCTTTACATTGAAGAAACACCTCGTTTTAGATGTTTGTAGCCGCGAGAGCGAAAACAGCCTCACCTACGTGTGCAGATCATGGAGCAGACAATTTTCCGTCGTGGAGGTCCCTGAAAATCGATCTCGCTTCACTCCCAGACACTTTCCAGCATAATTGCGGGTCCGCGAACTCACAAATGACGTCTTTATATTGAAGAAAAAACCTCGTTTCTGACGTTTGTAGCCCCGAGAAGCGAAAACAGCTGCACCTGTGCAGATCATGGAGCAGGCAATTTTCCGTCGTAGAGGTCCCTGACCAATCGATCTCGCTTCACTCCCAGGCACTTTCTAGCATAATTGCGGATCCGCAAACTCACAAATGGCGTCTTTACATTGAAGAAAAAACCTCGTTTCTGACGTTTGTAGCCGCGAGATGCGAAAACAGCCGCACCTGTGCAGATCATGGAGCAGGCAATTTTCCGTCGTGGAGGTCCCTGACCAATCGCTCTCGCTTCACTCCTAGGCACTTTCCAACATAATTGCGGTTCCGTGAACTCACAAATGGCGTCTTTACATTGAAGGAAAAACCTCGTTTCGGACGTTTGTAGCCCCGAGAAGCGAAAACAGCCGCACATGTGCAGATCATGGAGCAGGCAATTTTCTGTCGTGGAGGTCCCTGACCAATCGATCTCGCTTCACTCCCAGGCACTTTCCAGCATAATTATGGGTCCGAGAACTCACAAATGGCGTCTTTAAATTGAAGGAAAAACCTCGTTTCTAACGTTTGTAGCCCCGAGAAGCGAAAACAGCCGCACATGTGCAGATCATGGAGCAGACAATTTTCCGTCGTGGAGGTCCCTGACCAATCGATCTCGCTTCACTCCCAGGCACTTTCCAACATAATTTTTGGTCCGCGAACTCACAAATGACGTCTTTACATTGAAGAAAAAACCTTGTTTCTGACGTTTGTAGCCCCGAGAAGCGAAAACAACCGCACCTGTGCAGATCATGGAGCAGACAATTTTCCGTCGTGGAGGTCCCTGACCAATCGATCTCGCTTCACTCCCAGGCACTTTCCAGCATAATTGCGGGTCCGTGAACTCACAAATGACGTCTTTACATTGAAGAAAAAACCTCGTTTTGGACGTTTGTAGCTCCGAGAAGCGAAAACAGCTGCACCTGTGCAGATCATGGAGCAGGCAATTTTCCGTCGTGGAGGTCCCTGACCAATCGATCTCGCTTCACTTATGGTGGAAAGTGCCTGGGAAAGAAGCCAGATCGATTGGTCAGGGACCTCCACGACGGAATTTGGCCTGCTCCATGATCTGCGCAGGTGCGGCTGTTTTCGCTTCTCGCGGCTACAAACGTCCGAAACGAGGTTTTTTTCTTCAATGTAAAGACGTCATTTGTGAGTTCGCGGACCTGCAATTATGCTGAAAAGTGCCTGGGAGTGAAGCGAGAGCAATTGGTCAGGGACCTCCACGACGGAAAATTGCCTGCTCCATGATCTGCACATGTGCGGCTGTTTTCGCTTCTCGGGGCTACAAATGTTCTAAACGAGGTTTTTCATTCAATATAAAGACGCCATTTGTGAGTTCGCGGACCCGTAATTATGCTGGAAAGTGCCTGGGAGTGAAGCAAGATCGATTGGTCAGGGACCTCCACGACGGAAAATTGCCTGCTCCATGATCAACACATGTGCAGCTGTTTTCGCTTCTCGAGGCTACAAACGTCTGAAACGAGGTTTTTTCTTCAATGTAAAGACGTTTTTTGTGATTTTGCAAACCCACAATTATGCTGGAAAGTGCCTGGGAGTGAAGCGAGAGCGATTGGTCAGGGACCTCCACGACGGAAAATTGCCTGCTCCATGATCTGCACAGGTGCGGCTGTATTTGCTTTTTGGGGCTACAAACGTCAGAAACGAGGTTTGTGTTTTCAATGTAAAGACGTCATTTGTGAGTTTGCAAACCTGCAATGATGCTGGAATATGCCTAAGAGTGAAGCGAGAGCGATTGGTCAGGGACCTCCACGACGAAAAATTGCCTGCTCCATGATCTGCGCAGGTGCGGTTGTTTTCATTTCTCGGGGCTATCAATGTCAGAAACGAGGTTTTTCCTTCACTGTAAAGGCGTCATCTGTGAGTTCGCGGACCCGCAATTATGCTGGAAAGTGCCTGGGAGTGAAACGAGATCGATTGGTCAGGGACCTCCACGACGGAAAATTGCCTGCTCCATGATCTGCACAGGTGCGGCTGTTTTCGCTTCTCGAGGCTACAAACGTCCGAAACGAGGTTTTTCTTTCAATGTAAAGACTGCATTTCTGAGTTCACTGACCTGCAATTATGCTAGAAAGTGCTTGGGAAAGAAGCCAGATCGATTGGTCAGGGACCTCCACGACGGAAAATTGCCTGCTCCATGATCTGCGCAGGTGCGGCTGTTTTCGCTTCTCGCGGCTACAAACGTCCGAAACGAGGTTTTTCCTTCAATGTAAAGACGTCATTTGTGAGTTCGCGGACCCGCAATTATGCTGGAAAGTGCCTGGGAGTGAAGCGAGAGCAATTGGTCAGGGACCTCCACGACGGAAAATTGCCTGCTCCATGATCTGCACATGTGCGACTGTTTTCGCTTCTCGGGGCTACAAACGTCTGAAACGAGGTTTTTTCTTCAATGTAAAGACGTCATTTGTGAGTTCGCGGACCTGCAATTATGCTGGAAAGTTCCTGGGAGTGAAGCGAGAGTGATTGGTCAGGGACCTCCACGACGGAAAATTGCCTACTCCATGATCTGCGTAAGTGCGGTTGTTTTCGCTTCTCGGGGCTACAAACGTCAGAAACGAGGTTTTTTCTTCAATGTAAAGACGTCATTTGTGAGTTCGCGGACCCGCAATTATGCTGGAAAGTGCCTGGGAGTGAAGCGAGATCGATTGGTCAGGGACCTCCACGACGGAAAATTGTCTGCTCCATGATCTGCACATGTGCGGCTGTTTTTGCTTCTCGGGGCTACAAATATCAGAAACGAGGTTTTTTTTTCAATGTAACAACGTCATTTGTTATTCAATGTAAAGACGTGATTTGTGAGTTCACGGACCTGTAATGATGCTGGAAAGTCACTGGGAGTGAAGCGAGAGCGATTGGTCAGGGACCTCTACGACGGAAAATTGCCTGCTTTATGATCTGCGCAGTTGCGGAAGTTTTCTCTTCTCGGGGCTACAAACGTCAGAAACGAGGTTTTTTCTTCAATGTAAAGACGCCATTTGTGAGTTCGTTGACCAGCAATTATGCTGGAAAGTGCCTGGGAGTGAAGCGAGATCGATTGGTCAGGGACCTCCACGACGGAAAATTGTCTGCTCCATGATCTGCACAGGTGCGGTTGTTTTCGCTTCTCGCGGCTACAAACGTCCGAAACGAGGTTTTTTCTTCAATGTAAAGACATCATTTTGTCAGTTCACGGACCTGAAATCATGCTGGAAAGTGCGTGGGAGTGAAGCGAGAGCGATTGGTCAGGGACCTCCATGACGGAAAATTGCCTGCTCCATGATCTGCACATGTGCGGCTGTTTTTGCTTCTCGGGGCTACAAACGTCCGAAACGAGGTTTTTCCTTCAATGTAAAGATGCCATTTGTGAGTTCTCGGACCTATAATTATGCTGGAAAGTGCCTGGGAGTGAAGCAAGATCGATTGGTCAGGGACCTCCACGACGGAAAATTACCTGCTCCATGATCTGCGCAGGTGCGGTTGTTTTCGCTTCTCGGGGCTACAAACAACAGAAACGAGGTTTTTTTCTTCAATGTAAAGACGTCATTTGTGAGTTCGCGGACCCGCAATTATGCTGGAAAGTGCCTGGGAGTGAAGCGAGATCGATTGGTAAGGGACCTCCACGACGGAAAATTGCTTGCTCCATGATCTGCACAGGTGCGGCTGTTTTTGCTTCTCGGGGCTACAAACGTCAGAAACAAGGTTTTTTCTTCAATGTAAAGACGTCATTTGTGAGTTTGCAGACCTGCAATTATGCTGGAAAGTGCCTGGGATTGAAGCAAGATCGATTGGTCAGGGACCTCCACGACGGAAAATTGTCTGCTCCATGATCTGCGCAGGTGCGGTTGTTTTCGCTTCTTGGGGCTACAATTGTCCAAAACGAGGTTTTTCCTTCAATGTAAAGACGCCATTTGTGAGTTCGCAGACCCGTAATTATGCTGGAAAGTGCCTGGGAGTGAAGCGAGATCGATTGGTCAGGGACCTCCACAACGGAAAATTGCCTGCTCTATGATATGCACAGGTGCAACTTTTTTCGCTTCTCGGGGCTACAAACGTCAGAAACGAGGTTTTTTCTTCAATGTAAAGACGTCATTTGTGAGTTCGCGGACCCGCAATTATGCTGGAAAGTGCCTGGGAGTGAAACGAGATCGATTGGTCAGGGACCTCCATGACGGAAAATTGTCTGCTCCATGATCTGCACATGTGCGGCTGTTTTTGCTTCTCGGGGCTACAAACATCAGAAGCGAGGTTTTTTCTTCAATGTAACAACGTCATTTGTTAGTTCGCAAACCTGCAATTATGCTAGAATGAGTTTGGGAGTGAAGCGAGAGCGATTGGTTAGGGACCTCCACGACGGAAAATTGCCTGCTCCATGATCTGCGCAGGTGCGGTTGTTTTCGCTTCTCGCGGCTTCAAACGGTTGTAACGAGGTTTTTCTTTAATGTAAAGACGTCATTTGTCAGTTCGCCGACGCGCAATTATGCTGGAAAGTGCCTGGGAGTGAAGCGAGATCGATTGGTCAGGGACCTCCACGACGGAAAATTGTCTGCTCCATGATCTGCACAGGTGCGGTTGTTTTCGCTTCTCGCGGCTACAAACGTCCGAAACGAGGTTTTTTCTTCAATGTAAAGACGTCATTTTTGAGCTCGCGGACCCGCAATTATGCTGGAAAGTGCCTGGGAGTGAAGCGAGATCGATTGGTCAGGGACCTCCACGACGGAAAATTGCCTGCTCCATGATCTGCACAGGTGCGGCTGTTTTCGCTTCTCGGGGCTACAAACGTCCAAAACGAGGTTTTTTCTTCAATGTAAAGACGTTATTTGTGAGTTCGCGGACCCGCAATTATGCTGGAAAGTGCCTGGGAGTGAAGCGAGATCGATTGGTCAGGGACCTCCACGACAGAAAATTGCCTGCTCCATGATCTGCACTGTGCCATTGTTTTCGCTTCTCGGGGCTACAAACGTCCGAACGAGGTTCTTTCTTCAATGTAAAGATGTTATTTGTGAGTCGCGGACCCGCAATTATGGTGGAAAGTGCCTGGGAGTGAAGCGAGATCGATTGGTCAGGGACCTCCACGACGGAAAATTGCCTGCTCCATGATCTGCGCAGGTGCGGTTGTTTTCGCTTCTCGGGGCTACAAACGTCAGAAACGATGTTTTTTCTTCACTCTAAAGGCGTCATTTGTGAGTTTGCGGACCCGCAATTATGCTGGAAAGTGCCTGGGAGTGAAGCGAGATCGATTGGTCAGGGACCTCCACAACGGAAAATTGCCTGCTCCATGATCTGCGCAGGTGCGGCTGTTTTCGCTTCTCGGGGCTACAATTGTACGAAACGAGGTTTTTTCTTCAATGTAAAGACGTCATCTATGAGTTCGCAGACCCGCAATTATGCTGGAAAGTGCTTGGGAGTGAAGCGAGATCGATTGGTCTGGGACCTCCACGACGGAAAATTGCCTGCTCCATGATCTGCACAGGTGCGGCTGTTTTCGCTTCTCGCGGCTACAAACGTCCGAAACGAGGTTTTTTCTTCAATGTAAAGACGTCATTTGTGAGTTCGCGGACCTGCAATCATGCTGGAAAGTGCCTGGGAGTGAAGCAAGAGCGATTGGTCAGGGACCTCCACGACAGAAAATTGCCTGCTCCATGATCTGCGCAGGTGCGGTTGTTTTCGCTTCTCGGGGCTACAAACGTCAGAAACGAGGTTTTTTCTTCAATGTAAAGACGCCATTTGTGAGTTCGTGGACCCCCAATTATGATGGAACGTGCCAAGGAGTGAAGTGAGATCGATTGGTCAGGGACCTCCTCGACGGAAAAATTGTATGCTCCATGATCTGCGAAGGTGCGCCTGTTTTCGGTTCTCGGAGCTACAAACGTCCCAAACGAGGTTTTTTCTTCAATCTAAAGACGTCATTTGCGGGTTCGCGGACCCGCAATTTGCTGGAAAGTGCCTGGAGGTGAAGCGAGAGCGATTGGTCAGGGACCTCCACGACGGAAAATTGTCTGCTCCATGATCTGCACAGGTGCGGCTGTTTTCGCTTCTCGCGGCTACAAACGTCCGAAACGAGGTTTTATCTTCAATGTAAAGCCGTTATTTGTGAGTTCGCGGACTCGCAATTATGCTGGAATGTGTTTGGGAGTGAAGCGAGATCGATTGGTCAGGGACCTCCACGACGGAAAATTACCTGCTCCATGATCTGCGCAGGTGCGGCTGTTTTCGCTACTCGGGGCTACAATTGTACGAAACGAGGTTTTTCCTTCAATGTAAAGACGCCATTTGTGAGTTCGCAGACCCGCAATTATGCTGGAAAGTGTCTGGGAGTGAAGCGAGAGCGATTGGTCAGGGACCTCTACGACAGAAAATTGCCTGCTCCGGTTTTTTTCTTCAATGTAAAGACGTCATCTATGAGTTCGCAGACCCGCAATTATGCTGGAAAGTGCCTGGGAGTGAAGCGAGATCGATTGGTCAGGGACCTCCACGACGGAAAATTGCCTGCTCCATGATCTGCACAGGTGCGGTTGTTTTCGCTTCTCGGGGCTACAAACGTCCGAAACGAGGTTTTTTTCTTCAATGTAAAGACGTCATTTGTGAGTTCGCGGACCCGCAATTATGCTGGAAAGTGCCTGGGAGTGAAGTGAGAGCGATTGGTCAGGGACCTCCACGACGAAAAATTGCCTGCTCCATGATCTGCACATGTGCGGCTGTTTTCGCTTCTCGGGGCTACAAACGTCAGAAACGAGGTTTTTTCTTCAATGTAAAGACGTTATTTGTAAGTTCGCAGACCCGCAATTATGTTGGAAAGTGCCTGGGAGTGAAGCGAGAGCGATTGGTCAGGGACCTCCATGACGGAATATTGCATGCTTCATGATCTGCGCAGGTGCGGTTGTTTTCGCTTCTCTCGGGCTACAAACGTCAGAAACGAGGATTTTTCTTCAATGTAAAGACATCATTTATGAGTTCACAGACCTGCAATTATGCTGGAAAGTGCCTGCGAGTGAAGCGAGAGCGATGGGTCAGCGACCTCCACGACTGAAAAGTGTCTGCTCCATGATCTGCACAGGTGCGGTTGTTTTCGCTTCTCGGGGCTACAAACGTCCGAAACGAGGTTTTTCCTTCAATGTAAAGACGCCATTTGTGAGATCACGGACCCGCAATTATGCTGGAAAGTGCCTGGGAGTGAAGCGAGAGCGATTGGTCAGGGACCTTCACGACGGAAAATTGCCTGCTCCATGATCTGGATAGGTGCGGCTGTTTTCGCTTCTCGCGGCTACAAACGTCCGAAACGAGGTTTTTCCTTCAATGTAAAGACGTCATTTGTGAGTTCACGGACCTGCAATTATGCTGGAAAGTGCCTAGGAGTGAAGCGAGAACGATTGGTCAGGGACCTCCACGACGGAAAATTGCCTGCTCCATGATCTGCACAGGTGCGGCTGATTTCGCTTCTCGCGGCTACAATTGTCCGAAACGAGGTTTTTTCTTCAATGTAAAGACGTCATTTGTGAGTCTTGGACCTGCAATTATGCTGGAAAGTGCCTGGGAGTGAAGCGAGAGCGATTGGTCAGGGATCTCCACGACGGAAAATTGTCTGCTCCATGATCTGCACAGGTGCGGCTGTTTTCGCTTCTCGCGGCTACAAACGTCCGAAACGAGGTTTTTTCTTCAATGTGAAGACGTCATTTGTGAGTTCTCGGACCCGCAATTATGCTGGAAAATGCGTGGGAGTAAAACAAGAGCGATTGGTCAGGGACCTCTACGACGGAAAATTGTCTGCTCCATGATCTGCACAAGTGCGGCTGTTTTCGCTTCTCGCGGCTACAAACGTCCGAAACGAGGTTTTTTTCTTCAATGTAAAGAATTCATTTGTGAGTTCGCGGACCCGCAATTATGCTGGAAAGTGTCTGGGAGTGAAGCGAGAGCGATTGGTCAGGAACCTCCACGACGGAAAATTACCTGCTCCATGTTCTGTACAGGTGCGGCTGTTTTCGCTTCTCGCGGCTACAAACGTCCGAAACGAGGTTTTTTCTTCAATGTAAAGACGTCATTTGTGAGTTCGCGGACCCGCAATTATGCTGGAAAGTGCCTGGGAGTGAAGCGAGATCGATTGGTCACGGACCTCCTCGACGGAAAATTGCCTGCTCCATGATCTGCATAGGTGCGGTTGTTTTCGCTTCTCGGGGCTACAAACATCAGAAACGAGGTTTTTTCTTCAATGTAAAGACGTCATTTGTGAGTTCGCGGACCCACAAATATGCTGGAAAGTGCCTGGGAGTGAAACGAGATTGATTGGCCAGGGACCTCTACGACGGAAAATTGCCTGCTCCATGATCTCCATAGGTGCGGCTGTTTTCGCTTCTCGGGGCTACAAACGTCTGAAAAGAGGTTTTTTCTTCAATGTAATACGTCATTTGTGAGTTCGCGGACCCGCAATTATACTGGAATGTGCCTGGAAGTGAAGCGAGAGCGATTGGTCAGGGACCACCACGACGGAAAATCGCCTGCTCCATGATCTGCGTAGGTGCGGTTGTTTTCGCTTTTCGGGGCTACAAACGTCAAAAACGAGGTTTTTTCTTCAATATAAAGACGTCATTTGTGAGTTCGCGGACCCGCAATTATGCTGGAAAGTGCCTGGGAGTGAAACGAGATCGATTGGTCAGGGACCTCCACGACGGAAAATTGCCTGCTCCATGATCTGCGCATATGCGGCTGTTTTCGCTTCTTAGGGCTATAAACGTCCGAAACGAGGTTTTTTTCTTCAATGTAAAGACGTCATTTGTGAGTTCGCGGACCCGCAATTATGCTGGAAAGTGCCTGGGAGTGAAGCAAGAGCGATTGGTCAGGGACCTCCACGACGGAAAATTGCATGCTCCATGATCTGCACAGGTGCGGCTGTTTTCGCTTCTCGCGGCTACAAACGTCCAAAACGAGGTTTTTTCTTCAATGTAAAGACGTCATTTGTGAGTTCGCGGACCCGCAATTATGCTGGAAAGTGCCTGGGAGTGAAGCGAGAGCGATTGGTCAGGGACCTCCACGATGGAAAATTGCCTGCTCCATGATCTGCATAGGTGCGGTTGTTTTCGCTTCTTGTGGCTACAAGCGTCAAAAACGAGGTTTTTTCTTCAATGTAAAGACGTCATTTGTGAGTTCGCGGACCCGCAATTATGCTGGAAAGTGCCTGGGAGTGAAGCGAGATCGATTGGTCACGGACCTCCTCGACGGAAAATTGCCTGCACCATGATCTGCATAGGTGCGGTTGTTTTCGCTTCTCGGGGCTACAAACATCAGAAACGAGGTTTTTCCTTCAATGTAAAGACGTCATTTGTGAGTTCGCGGACCCACGATTATGCTGGAAAGTGCCTGGGAGTGAAGCAAGATCGATTGGTCAGGGACCTCCACGACGGAAAATTGTCTGCTCCATGATCTCCACATGTGGGCTATTTTCGCTTCTCGGGGCTACAAACATCAGAAACGAGGTTTTTTCTTCAATGTAAAGACGTCATTTGTGAGTTCGTGGACCCGCAATTATGCTGGAAAGTGCCTGGGAGTGAAGCGAGATCGATTGGTCAGGGACCTCCACGACAGAAAATTGCCTGCTCCATGATCTGCACAGGTGCGGCTGTTTTCGCTTCTCGCGGCTACAAACGTCCGAAACGAGGTTTTTTCTTCAATGTAAAGACGTCATTTGTCAGTTCGCGGACCCACAAATATGCTGGAAAGTGCCTGGGAGTGAAACGAGATCGATTGGTCAGGGACCTCTACGACGGAAAATTGCCTGCTCCATGATCTCCATAGGTGCGGCTGTTTTCGCTTCTCGGGGCTACAAACGTCTGAAACGAGGTTTTTTCTTCAATGTAAAGACGTCATTTGTGAGTTCGCGGACCCGCAATTATACTAGAATGTGCCTGGAAGTGAAGCGAGAGCGATTGGTCAGGGACCACCACGACGGAAAATCGCCTGCTCCATGATCTGCGTAGGTGCGGTTGTTTTCGCTTTTCGGGGCTACAAACGTCAAAAACGAGGTTTTTTCTTCAATATAAAGACGTCATTTGTGAGTTCGTGGACCCGCAATTATGCTGGAAAGTGCCTGGAAGTGAAGCGAGATCGATTGGTCAGGGACTCCACGACGGAAAATTGCCTGCTCCATGATCTGCACAGGTGCGGCTGTTTTCGCTTCTCGCGGCTACAAACGTCCGAAACGAGGTTTTTTCTTCAATGTAACGACGTTATTTGTGAGTTGGTGGACCCACAAATATGCTGGAAAGTGCCTGGGAGTGAAGCGAGAGCGATTGGTCAGGGACCTCTACGACGGAAAATTGCCTGCTCCATGATCTCCATAGGTGCGGCTGTTTTCGCTTCTCGGGGCTACAAACGTCCGAAACGAGGTTTTTTCTTCAATGTAAAGACGTCATTTGTGAGTTCACACACCCACAATTATGCTGGAAAGTGCCTGAGAGTGAAGCGAGAGCGATTGGTCAGGGACCTCCACGACGGAAAATTGCCTGCTCCATGATCTCCACAATTGAGGTTTTTTTTGCATCTCGCGACTACAAACGTCCGAAACGAGGTTTTTTTCTTCAATGTAAAGACGTCATTTGTGAGTTCGCAGACCCGCAATTATGCTGGAAAGTGCATGGGAGTGAAGCGAGAGCGATTGGTCAGGGACCTTCACGACGGAAAATTGCCTGCTCCATGATCTGTAAAGGTGCGGTTGTTTTCGTTTCTCGGGGCTACAAACGTCAGATTCGAGGTTTTTCCTTCAATGTAAAGACGCCATTTGTGAGTTCGCGGACCCGCAATTATGCTAGAAAGTGTGTGGGAGGGAAGTGAGATCGATTGGTCAGGGACCTCCACGACGGAAAATTGCCTGCTCCATGATCTGCACAGGTGCAGCTGTTTTCGCTTCTCGGGGCTACTTACGTCAGAAACGAGGTTTTTTCTTCAATGTAAAGACGTCATTTGTGAGTTCACGGAACCAAAATTATGTTGGAAAGTGCCTGGGAGTGAAGCGAGATCGATTGGTCAGAGACCTCCACGACGGAAAATTGTCTGCTCCATGATCTGCACATGTGCGGCTGTTTTCGCTTCTCGGAGCTACAAACGTCGGAAACGAGGTTTTTCCTTCAATTTAAAGACGCCATTGGTGAGTTCGCGGACGTATATTTATGCTGGAAAGTGCCTGGGAGTGAAGTGAGATCGATTGCTTTGGGACCTCCACGACAGAAAATTGCCTGCTCCATGATCTGCACAGGTGCGGCTGTTTTCGCTTCTCGGGGCTACAAACGTCCGAAACGAGGTTTTTTCTTCAATGTAAAGACGTCATTTGTGAGTTTGCGGACCTGCAATGATGCTGGAATGTGCCTGGGAGTGAAGTGAGAGCGATTGGTCAGGGACCTCCACGACAAAAAATTGCCTGCTCCATGATCTGCGCAGGTGCGGTTGTTTTCGCTTCTCGGGGCTACAAACGTCCGAAACGAGGTTTTTTCTTCAAAATAAAGACGTCATTTGTGAGTTTGTGGACCGGCATTTATGCTGGAAAGTGCCTGGAAGTGAAGCGAGATCGATTGGTCAGGGACCTCCACGACGGAAAATTGCCTGCTCCATGATCTGCACAGGTGCGGCTGTTTTCCCTTCTCACGGCTACAATCATCCAAAACGAGGTTTTTTCTTCAATGTAAAGACGTTATTTGTGAGTTCACGGACCCACAAATATGGTGGAAAGTGCCTAGGAGTGAAGCGAGAGCGATTGGTCAGGGACCTCTACGACGGAAAATTGCTTGCTCCATGATCTCCATAGGTGCGGCTGTTTTCGCTTCTCGGGGCTACAAACGTCCGAAACGAGGTTTTTTCTTCAATGTAAAGACGTCATTTGTGACTTTGTGGACCCGCAATTATGCTGGAAAGTGCCTGGGAGTGAAGCGAGAGCGATTGGTCAGGGACCTCCACGACGGAAAATTGCCTAGTCCATGATCTGCATAGGTAAGTGTCGGAGTTAACAGACAGGAATGATTGAACTAACAGAGAAATCAGTACAAAAAGCAAACCCTAGAATTGTGTACCCCATATAGGCTAACCCACTGTAGCCTAACAAACCCAACATATATAATGTTTGACACACCCCCATAGGCAAAGTGGGGGAGACCTAGGGGTCACAAGACCAGTCAAGGCAACAACAAGCTCAGGGTGGATCTCGAGGATTCCACACAAATTCCGAGCACAAGCTAGTGGTCACAAGACCAGTTCACATGCAGGTTTATAACAGAGCCAGAGATACAGTGATCACAACCTAGCAAGAGTAAACATGCAGGTATAGATATATATAGTGATCACAGTACAAGCAAAGTCAAGAGGTAAGCAAGTGAGGTCCAGTAGGCACAAGGCCTAGTAGAGTGCAGAAGCGCTGATGGTCACGAGGCTGAAGCGCCTTGGTGAACACATCAGCAGTGTTGGCCTCAGTGGCCACGTAGCGAATACAAAGCTGACCGCGCTGCTGCAGCTCTCGAGCAAGGAAGTACCGCAGGGCGATGTGCTTCGTTCTGTGCTCCAGTCTGTGCTCCTCACACAAGGCAATGGCAGCCTTGTTGTCGACGTACAGTACTGGAGGAGAACGAGGCGGCTCTCCGAGGTCAGTCAGCAGGTAGGTCAGCCAGCGTAGCTCCTGGGCAGCCATGGCTGTAGCGTAGATCTCAGCCTCGCAACTGGAGCCGAGAACAGAAGAAGAGCGTGTAGAGCGCCAAGAAACTGAGCCAGAGCCAAGGCTGAAGGTGTAACCCTGAGACGACCGCTGAGTGGCCTGGTCGTCTGCCCAAGAAGCGTCTGAGTGCCCTGTGAGCACAACTCGGTCTCGCCCTCCAAGCACAAGCCCCATGCCCGACGTACTGCACAAGTAGCGCAACACCCTCTTAGCGGCATCCATGTGCTCCTTCCTGTGACGGCCAGGAGCGACATAGCGTGCAAGGATGCTAAGAGGGTATGCAAGGTCAGGTCGAGTGCAGGTCATCAAGTACATGAGGCAGCCCACAAGCTCTGGATACGGGCCACTCGGCTCTACGGACTCATCCGAAGGCAGAGCTGAGAGCGAGTGACCGGTAGGCAGAGGAGTGGACTGAGGCGAGGAGTACGTGAAGCCGAAGCGCTGGAGAACCTGCTGCACCATGTGTGACTGAGTCAAGGTGATGGTGCGCCGTGCTCTGTCCCGGGTGATCCGCAAGCCAAGATAGCTTGTCAGTTCACCCAGGTCTGTGCACGTGTGTCTCCTCTGCAGCTCCGACTTCACGTAGGCGAGTCCTGCAGTGTCAGCAGTGGCAAAGACCAGGTCGTCGACGTACACGAGGATGTAGAACGGCGGCAGCGAAGTGTCGGTGCGCAGGAACAGCGACGGGTCAGCTGTAGAAGGCGCGAACCCAAGAGCCGCAAGTGTAGTCCTCAGTGTGTCGTGCCACTCACGCGGAGCCTGGCGGAGACCGTAGACCGGCCGCTGAAGCCTCCACTGGGTACCAGGAGGAAACGACCCAGTGAAGCCAGGTGGGCGGCGCAGCCAGATCTCCTCGTGCAGGCTGCCCTGCAAGAACGCAGTGCTGAAGTCAAGTGAGTGAAGCTCGTAGTCGCGCTGAGCGGCTATGTGCAGCAGCACCCGAAGAGTAGTCATCTTCGGGGTGGGGGAGAAGGTCTGGAAGAAGTCAACTCCCTCTCGCTGACTGAAGCCTCGAGCCACGTAACGCGCCTTGAAGACAGGCGGAGAACCCGGCGGCCGCTTCACCCTGAAAATCCACATGCCACTGACGATGTTCGCCCCAGGAGGGGGAACCTCGTCGATGTAGGTGCGTGTGGACTTCCAGGAAGCCATCTCGGCGTCCATGGCTGTCTGCCACTGAGAGGAGTAGGGACCCGCCATCGCCTCAGCGTAAGTGCGCGGGGTCGGGATGTCTGGTGCATCCGGGTCTCCCTCAGGGGCAACTAGCAAGGACACGAGACGGGGCAAAGCAGCAGCAAGACACTGGAACTCCTCCTGTCTGTCCTCAAGGACGTCCGTGCTAAGAGCACACTCACCCCCGACGGACGGAGGACAGACAGACTCAGACTCAGACACAGCAACAAGGCTAGCAGCGTAGTCTAGACGACAGGCAGCAGCAAAGTCAACCAACTCAGCGACCAGAGCAGACGCAGCCGAGGACTCAAAGGTAGGGTCAGTGACAACAGTAGCAAGGAGACGCGTGACAGTAGGGTGCTCAGCACGATACCGGTCAGACTCAGGGTCCGGAACGTCAGGCAAAGAGGACGTAGGAGGAGACGGTAGAGGGACACGCTGAGGAGCAGTAGAGGGACGCAGAGTCATGTAGTGAGTGCCCGGGACAGGAGGAGGACGCTCACGACGGACACGACTACCAGTGCGAGCAGGACGAACAGGCGACGCAGGACGAGACTCAGGCTCA